GTCGAATCAAGTACTGAGTGCAAATGAGCCATCTTTTAAAATAATGACATTTCTCATTTGCAAAGACCTCACTGCTAGTCTTTTTTTTTAAATTCTATATCCAGCTTTGTAGGGGTTCTGTTTAAAAACCCCTTTGGACCCAAATTTAAACAATGTTGCCCAAGCGATCACCATACAGTCAAAGGAAATTGGTGGATGTTCAGACAGTCCAGAGACTTTCAAGTTGAAGATGATTGTCCTGTGCTAAAAATGTCACTCTGTGTCAGGAAATCAGCTGATTCAGAGAAGTGAGGTCTGATGATAAACATCTGGGCAGAAATATGTCAGGAACTTGTTAACGGCTCCAAAAAGCAGGTTTTCTCTGCAGCTCGCTGAAGGACGATTGACTGCAAGAACAGGGGCTGCATGTGGTTCTGTTTGAACCAGAATGGATTAAACAAAACGCGTTTTTTCACATTTATTAAAGAAATGCGATTAGATATTCAAAGCTTTTAATGGACATGTGAAAATCTTTCTTGCTTCTTTTGTGCACAGTCAAAATCACCTTTTTCTTAATTCTGCTGTGATTAATTGCACTAATCTTGTTTTCTTTTGCTTTAGTAAAAAATATCCTCCTTTTTCTTTCAATCTCAACTCCATTTTGATATTATCCTCCAGGATGGAGCTGCGATCCTTTTCCATTTGTAAAAACTGAAGAAATGTCAATATTAACTCCACAATGAAACAAATTATAAGCATATCTGTTAAGAAGCTTATTAGTGCATTCTGTGTAAAAAAGAATAACTAAAATAGCCAAATTTTCTTTGGAGGAGTTGTGGGTGGACACGATTTTCTGACTGGGTTTTTCATTTCAGGCTCGGAGTGTAATCCTCCGCTGAAGAGCTGTTTGACCAGGGAGAAAACAGGGGAGTTTATGCAGGTTTAGTCTGCTGGGAAGTGGAACTAAGATGTGTTGAGAGCACAAATTCTGGCTTGGCTCTGCTTCTTTATGTTACAGTTGCCAAGATATACAGAGAGAAAAACAGACAGTGGAGCTAAAATGCATTTTTCTCCTCTGTAACTAAAACCAGAGTTCAGTAAAAACAATCAGTTTTATCGGTTCACCTTCAGGAAGATGTCAAATTGTTGGTGTGAAGCGACAATATACACGAATGGATAAAAATGTTAACTCATGTTGGAGTGTGTTAATTCAGTTATTGTACCTCTCAGACTCAAGAAAGAGTTTAGTTTAGCCAATCTTTTCATTTTCCACCTTCAGCAGCAGCTTCTGCCTTCAGGCATTTGAGATAACAGGAAATGACTCCTTTGTATCAAAATGTTTGCTCTGCTGAATTGTTTTGATTTCGAGCACAAATGGACTGCTTAAGCTTATGGTTGAGAATCTCAATCAGATGCAAGACTGGACTTTGACTAGGTCACTCAAAAACCGAAATTTTGGGTTTTGTTGAGGCATCCAGAGGTGAACTTAATATTCAGCACAAGTAAAGAAGCTCCAGGCTGCCGTACTGCCAGCATCATATTTCCCTGTTGGGATGATTTTCTTCTTTGGAAATCAATGTTTGGTGAGTTTCATTCCAGATGTACGAGGAGACAAACCTCCTGCTCTTGGCGCAATATTGTCCAAAATGTTTTGGGGAGTATCAAGATGTTTTGAGATGAGTCTGTTATTTTTCACCAGTTGTTGTAGCATTGAAACCATGGATTCAATGGTTTCAATGCTACCAACACAAGAGATGCCTGCAGTGCTTCAGACGTCTTTCTGAGTCATGCTCTGATCTCCAATCTGCCCTTGAAGTAATACTGGTAGGCTGGCCACTCCTGATAAGGATCGCTATTATTTCATGTTCTCAGCATTTTGTTGTAGAGGCCTGTTTCTTTTATATTATCATTACCATTTTATAACCAAGGTTTATTGATGAACATGCTCAGCAGAGGCTGGTTCATGTTCTTATCCAGTTAAACTTCTATAGCTAAAACTGATGAAAATGTAATGCTTATTCTGGTTGCTGTTGTACGGATAGTGAAAAATGAAGAACACCATTGAAAACCTCTTGGTTATTCCACCAAATATTGATTTATAAACTCTTCCTGAGTTAAGACATTCGTATTGTTGTTTTCTTTGCATTATTTGAGGTCTGAAAGCATTGCGTCTTTTTGGTTATTTTTACCATTTCTCATTTTCTGCAAACAAATACAATATTTTTGCATGGAACTTCAGAGACATGTTGTCAGTAGTTCATAGAATAAAAGAACATAGTTCATTTTACTCAAACGTATACCAATAAAAAGGTAGTAAAGTCAGTATTTTTAAACAAGTCTGATCCACGGAGGCTCATTTAAGACGCAATGGGTCAGCAGTTTTCTGAAATCATATCTTTTCAGTTTGAAGGTGCATTGCATTCACCAAAGACAGTCATTTTTTGCCTTCTTCCACATCTGCTGAGTAGAAACAAATGTCTATTTTCCACCTCTGTAAAGAATTGGCACATTCAGATATTTCAGAGGACAGTTTAACAAAAGATTAGCTTTAACCGGTGATGCATGGCAGTCCGCCGTTATTTCTCTGTACCATATGAATCTGAGCTGTGCGAAATGTCGGCTTCTATTTGACAGCTCATTTGTCACTCCTGTAGGCTTTTGTGAGTCATCATCCTTATCAGCCGTTCGGTATCCAGACAGGAACCCTCCACCTGTCCTCTCGAGTGGAAACGTCCCTGGACTTGGCCTGCAGCCGGTTGTACGTTCACCTCCTGCGCTGCAGTCCAGCACACACTCACACGACGCCTGGAAGCAAATAAAAAGAGGAGCTGAATTGATCTTTCCACCATCATCGTCCCAGTTAGACGTGTCTGTCTGCTGAACTTACAAACGTTTCGGTTTTTGTTTGGGGATTTTTGTAAAGTCAGCCATGAAAGCGTATCTGTTCACTATTTTGATGTTTTTTTGATGATGCAAGCTGAAATGTATTTTTAGGGAGATTTTATGTAAGCACCAAGATACATATAATAATGTCTGATGGCGCTCCAAAATATACATATTTTTAATCAAAGACATTACAGATTCTTTAATGGATTATACATTTATTCATCACTTAAATTATACTTAGTGACAAAATCTGAAGTATATGTCCACTTGATAACATCAACCTGCATGAAGGAACATGTATGGCAAGATGTATGAACTCGGATGTGTTTTATGTTTCAGTGGTCGAGGCTGAGTATCCAGATAAATCATAGTTTGCATTAAAATAAACAGATATTTTTATGGTCTAATTTTGGACAGTTAAACATTTGACAGGCTGCCGTTATGGGAAGGGTCTTGAACTACTTTTCATTGAGTAACAAATGAATTTATGATGGCACTAAAGTTGGTCACAATGTGTCCATTTGTTAAAAAGAAGAAGAATTTATTTATTAAATAAATTCATGAATTCATTTCATTATTTCAACAAAGAAAACTTATGAAACAGAGTGACACATTTGAAGTGCTTCAATGATTACGATTTATTGGTTACAGCAAATAGAAACCAGAAATAAAGTTTATCAGAAAATGAGAACATCACATAAGACCAAAACTAAATAGATTTTTAAGAAAAATGTGGGGCCTACTACACCATCAACCTTGACAATCCGAAAACCCATTTTTACCTCCATTTTAGGTAAATAAAACTAGCTTCTGGCTGCGAATGTTAACTTTAAAAACACAGTATAATTTTTAATAAATATCTACCAAAGAAAAATAGTTAAAGAACCATATTTCTTCCTTTTATCTTAAAAAAAAACCTTCACAAAAAGAAAATGGATGGATACATATTTTCTATATGTTAAGATTTGTGAAAATTTGTTTTTAAAAGAAAAAAAACATAACTAAAAATTTAATGATGTAATTATTCCATAAAAATCATGAATAAATTGCTAAAAACTGCATTAGTTATTACAGTCTAAAACATTTGTTGGTTCAGTTATTAGTAGCCACTGTCGAAGGTTTAAAGAACTTTTTGCAGCTTTATGGCCACAAGTTGCAGACCTCTGACCTTAATTATCATGTAACAGTTAGTGACTCACATTTGAAACAAATTACAGAAATTAACACCCATTTTGATAATTTTCTACTTCCTGTTTGGATGCAGACATTTCCATCAGTGTCATAAATAAGAAAAGCAGATTGCAAAACAATCAGTCGTAAGATATATAAAAATGTATTTCCTTTTGCCAGTTTCAAAGGTGAATAAAATTTTAATCACGAGTTATTGATTGAAGAGAAAGTTTGTAAAAACAACCAAAGAAATGCTGTGAAATATATTGTAAGAATCTCATTATTCCTCAAGAAGGAAAAACTGCCCACTGTCTCAACAGTTAAGATGTAGTTATATTTTCATCAGACTTCATGTGCTAATAGCAAGTTAAAGTTTAATCTGCGCTGATGAGATTCCTACAAACCGCAGAAAAAGGCCAACAGAGAGCCGACTCCATTAAGACAGTCAGAAAAACAAACCTCAAATCAACACAGGAAAGTACTGTACACTAACAGACATGATTACATCAGTACGCAGCTGCTGCAGCACCAAAATGTTCAACTCTAATAGAGACTCTTGTTGCACTAATTTGAACAAAACTGCTGAAGTGATCATGAGCGCTCAGGGCTTAATAAGCAAATGTTAAAGAAGCTGAAGGAATAATTTGGAGCAGCTTCTCCAGTGATTGCCAAGGCGCTGTTTAAGTATGCATGGTACAGAGGTGGAGCAAATCCACATTTAGAAAGGCGATGCCACTTGATTGCAGCGCAAGTCTTAAATCCTGCTGATTTATTTTGATGGTAGTCAATTTTATGAATCTAACAAGGAAGCCACTCATTAAATTACCAGAGATTTTGTTTCATTATTTTAAAGAATTACTCCTCACATTTATAGATATTAAAATGACTGGCATGACTGAAGGTATATCAACATGTATGTTGCTGTCCAGTGTTGCACAAATTCTTAAGAACAATATATAAACACCTATTTTTCAAAAACAGTTTAATGAAGGCTTTTCATATCCATCTTAAACATCTTATGTACAGAAACTCTCCATCAGAGCCAGCGCTTGGCCAGCAGCAGCCTTCATTGTGCAGAGGAACAACAGTGAAGCAGATACTAAAGGATGATTTGGTTTTTGAAGCCGCGGTTCAGATCTTTGTGTGGAAGCACAATGGAGTTCAGTATGATCACCTCAGAAGGAATGGTCACGTTGCAGCCTGAGGAGGAAGAAAAGAGATTTAAATCCTGTGCGGAAAACAAAAACAGTACACCAATGATGAGAGCAAAAAATTAATCCCCAGTCAAAACAGAGTCAGTGTGATAAGAGGAATTTAAATTGGATGCAGGGCCTTTAAAAAGTTCTGTCCTTTGCTCTATTAAAAATTAATCACCATTAATGTGCAGTACACATCTTGTCGCATGACAACAAATTCAATCTAACTTATTGGGGTTTTCTGATTTTGTGTCTCTGGACTTGATCGGTTATCTGCTTTTCACTCATTTCTTTTGGAATTTTATTCACCATCACCTGGTGCCTATAATGAAGTGCTGATTCCGGTTGGACAACAACTTTAAAATCGAAAGCTACGCTCCACCGTTAGCATCCATGTTTACTTCCGCAAACACTGAGAGCTGCTTCTTTTTATGGCGGTTGGCAAAACACTGAGAACGCTGACGTTATTGCGCCCTCTACTGTGCATGTGGGACACTTTCAGGTCATTTGCATTTCACACTGCAAATGACCTGAATGTTGCAAACATTTGGAATGGCAAAAAAAAAAAAAAAAAACATAAAAATCAGACTAGACAAAAAAAAACATTGTGAAGGGGTCACTTCAAGCTGCAGTGTGAACGCAGCCTTACAGACCAACAGAAAGTTGTGAAGGAGAAGGTGAATGACGAGCGGCTTTCAAAAATAAACATTTGATGAAAGTGTTTTTCCTACAGCCTAATTTACTCTGATGAACTGAAATAAAATCCAAGGCAAACAGCCTTCAGAGGTTCCTAGTTAGGAAGTAGAGCCCTCCACTTCATTTGTGTCTGACATGATGTCACAAAGACATTCAGTGAGGCTTACCAAGAATAGTTATAGAAGGTGTGAGTTTTCCATCTCTGAAGAGCGTCTCGCTGTCAATCTTTGCAAATGGATCATTTGGGTTTGGGTCACTGGGAGTTCCTTCTACTCTTGCCCACTTGCCTATGGTACTATCCCATCCCACAATGCTGTTCAAAACACAGCACTGATCCTGAAAAAGAATAAATACAATAATAAAAAAGAATCAAGAACTAATTAACAGCTGATTGTACTTTGACTAAAACATCAATGCATTTCAGATATCCAGTAAAATAATATTGAGACATCCAGCAGGGAGCATTTATTTAGAGGAATACATCAACTAAGAATTTGGCCTTGTATGGATTATGCAATAAAAGCCAATAAATCTCCAGTGGAATAAATCCAGTTTAAATGTCCTCTGGTCTTCATAAGAGACATGGGATTAAATTATAGCAGTCAGAAAATCGTTAACTGTGACATCTTGGTGCCAGGCGGTGGCAACAATATTTCTGGAGACAGATGAGGGTGATGATGTACTTTAGGAATGTCAGATGCGACATTGGCACTAAAATATAAAGACCTTTAGCTCAAAGGTCATCTTCATATTAACCCTCTCCAGGCAGGGGTTGCAGATTTGCAACAACTTAAACAGTCTTTTCAAGTAATTTCAGCCTGAGAGGGTTAAGCAAATTTTAAAATTTTTACACAGTAAGAAGATATTACATTGAAAAAAAAACAAAAACTTTTGACTTGAGTTCAGTGCACACAATGTCTTACCTGTAGGTTTGCACCATGAAGAATGATTGATTCTCGAACTCTGACCCCGGCACCGATAGTAACACCGGTGCCAATTGAGACGTTGGGACCCAACTGCAGAAATAAATACAACAGCAAATTAAAAAAAAAAACTCTTAAATATTCCTCTTGAATAAACATTATTACTGTTTTTAGACAAAAAGAGACAAGAACTTGCACATATTTCATTTGTTGACAATTGTTTACAGTTACATAATATAAAGATTCAGTTGTCTGTGAGGCACTTTGGAGTTTATTTATGTTTAGTTGCACTGACTGTTACCAGTAGAGGTCAATGAGGAAACCCTCAGCAACAATCAAAGTTACTCATGTGACTTTTTGGGAAAACAAACTGGTGACCTCTGACCTCAATCAAGCGTACCGTGATCGCATTGTTTTAAAAACAAGAGGCTAACAAGTGAGATTTTGAGAGAACCACAACTATCAGCAACTTAACAGATGAAGCCAACTTGTAGCAATAAGCAACAATCAACCAGAAGGTTTTAGACCAATAAGTGTTAGAAATGCATGCAATGGTAAAGCAGAGGGATCCCATGCCCCAGTATGACTAAGTCTGCCTCTGCTGTATCCCATGTATTCTTGGCTACTGTTACATTGCTGTATTTAAACAGAGGTATTGTGTTTCTATTTAGAGTTCTTACCACAGCAGTGGGATCAATATTGGCTGTAGGATGAATATAGACATTACCTGTGCAGAAGGAAAGTGAGGGTGAGTTGACGTGTACCAGTCAATATTTTTTGGGGTGGATGTACAGCAAGTTTATAAGTCGTACCAGTTATTTTGGGTCCTCCCTCTTTATTAGGAGCCAGTCTTTCAGGATGAGTTGTGTGATATTGATTGAGGTACAATCGACTGGCATAAATCGCAGACCTGTAAAACGGAACAAAAATAGTTTGACAGCAAACAAAAGCGGAAACAAATCAGATTCTTGTCTGAGTCACAACTGAGTGGGCTACCAGATTTGTTGCAACAGCATTAAAGATCACGATGTCTGTGAAGCGGCAGGTTGAAAATGTTTCACTCACCCTGCAGATTTAATCTGGCTCCAGAAGCTGAGGGTTTTGTAGACGTAGAGTTTGCCCTGTCCGGCCAGGGCAGTAAATATGTCCTGCTCCAGCCTGATGGCTTCCGCTCTGTGCCAGCCGTTGGTTGGCTCCTCTCTGCACCAAACAGATTCTCAGACTTAGGTTGAGAACTTCAAACATTTAGGCATCAATTAATAAAAACTTTATGAAGCTATAGGACAACGTGGGTGTCTGGGCTAACGGCAGTTTTTTTGCCCTTCTAACCCAAGTATTATTTAAAATTTCATCTGCACAAGCTACTTAAAATAAATTAGTGGTGCATAAACAGCAACTAAAGTTTTCAAGGCTTGTCCACATGAAAACAGAATGTTTCATAAAAACAATCATTGCATTTGAATTTTCTAAAAACCTTGTAAACCATGGCATTATGCCACTAAAAGTCTTCATAAAAATTTAAGAAATTGACCAAAAACTGTGACAAACATATATGTTGTGATATACAGCAACTAAAAAGCAAAGGAGACGTGAAGCTTTGGGTTGTGAGCAGTGGTATCAGTTTCCAAGAACTTTTGTGTTTGCATCAATTTTAGAAGATATTTTTCTCGATTCAGAAAAAAATAACCAAACATTTAGTTCAGCTGAATTGTTCCATATACATAAAAATTATCAATACGCACAAAGATTTACGTTAAAATTACCCAGTTATGCTTTTTTTTTTGTTTTAGAGAAATATTGGTTTTAATCAACTTTTATTTAGCTACACTTTGCACAGTTTTAATACAAGGTCTGCTTTAAAATGTTGTTTTACTCTTTCATCATGCAAAAGGCGGCCATTTCTAGATAAATGATAACATGAAACTCCTGCTCTTCATCTGTTTTAAGTCAAACAAATGCTAGAGGTTTTAAGAGTTATGTTTAATTATTTAATTATGTAAAGTGGTAAAATGGCACATTTATGAATCCATATACTTTGAAACTAATGTTACATCAATTGTGTTATAAATGTTATTTTTATGACGTGGACCTCACATTGTGATGGAAATAGTGAATAGAGATCCAAATAAACAAACAAATCCAGCTGCAGGTTGCACAGGAACCTCAGTTATATTATATTCAAATGCTTAAAACAAAAATGCGCATTTTATCCACTTTTAAGACATAACTTGTAAACAAAAAACAATCCAGTAACAAAATTATCTAGTTTTTCTTCCATTATTTTGAGATTTTGTTGCACAAAATCTTAATTGACGAGAATCAAACAGGTAATAAGAGAAAAGGATCTTGCTGCAAAGGTTTCAAGGTTAGGAATTGAACCTGCTATTAGCCTCGGTACATGGAGCATCCGCTCTACATCTGTCACATGCTGTCCCCAGTGACCCTGATACCTCCAAAAGTCGCTTTTCTTTAACAAATAAAACACAGCTACGATTAAACTATTACCTAGCCTGCAGTTTAAGATAAGACACATAAAAGGCATGTAGACTTCGATGGGTTCAGTGGTGAAACCAAAGCTAATTACTTAGCAGTAACCCCTCCCAAAAATATTTTAAAGAAGAGTTTACATTCTCCATATTAATCAGTCTTAAATATTGATGAAAAAGAATATTTTAAAGGATCACACCCATAATCAAAGACTTAATAAGAGAAGAGTGAATGTGAGAAGAAGCAGAGCAATCCCTGAGAGACTGCAGTAAAGGCCTTCTCATTTCTATCAAGAATTTCTGATGTGCTCCAAAGTTTGCTGATTCAGCACCCGCTCCAGTTAAGGTCCATTGATGTTAGCGGGTGAATTATTCATGGTGCGGGTTGTCTTTTCCTCAGATTTCTTAAATGTCCTTTGTGTACCATTGTGAGAGCAGTGTGGTGTTTAAGCGTATGTAAGCAGCTGCAGGCATAACATGAAGGAGGATAAAATGTCAAGAATAAAAAACAAGCAAAAAAAGGCATTCAGGATCACTGAAAGTTTCACCTATTCTGCTCTGACTCCAACACTGTTGTAAATATTATTCTAGACTAAACAAATGCTCTCCAGGTCAATTTGCCCTTTTCATATCTTTAAACCAGTTTGTAAAATGTGTTAAACCATTGGGTATAAGCTTGTCTCAAGTATTTTGCATGAATTATACAGATAAATATTGATAAAAAATACTAAAGTCTATAATGCATGTAAAAGTATTCACACCCTATGACTTTTATTATATTGCCTCATTCAAGCCTTTGAAGAAGGGCTGAAACGATTAATCAGATTAATCTTCAACTAATTTAGTAATCGATTGTAAACTGGAGAATACAGGCTCAAACAAGGCCAATTGTGAAAGAATATCTTATTCAGAGCAGCAATTAAGTCAAAATTATATCCATTATATCTACATTTTGCATTTAGGATAAAACCAACTTTGTATGTTTTACCCAAGTGGAGCAGCTTTATCTTCACCCCGTTCAGTTTCACTGAGGAATGCTACGTTATTGTGTTTTCAGCACTAAATGTTTTGTTCTCTCATTAAAAAAAAAGCAACTGAAATATTTATTTGCATATTAAAACAGTGTTGTTACAGAAAAAATCTGTACAATTTTCCATTTTTTATTTATTTTTAAATCTGATTAATAGATTAATTGTTAGAAAAATGTATGGAATACTTGATTACTAAAATTATTTGTCCCACTTTGAAGTTGAGTCTCCACCAGGTTTGCACATTGACATTTTTGGTCATTTCTGCTTGACTAAATACCTAAACAGGAAGGAAAATATCATTTTCCAATGTTCTGTCAATGATTCTCACGTTTAGAAGACACTACACAAGTTTCATAGTTGCCAAAGGTTCAGCTAAAAATAGGTGTTCACACTAAGGCTGTTGGGGGATCACACACCTTACAACCCCACTAGCTGGAGGATCACAGACTACCGGATTTTTCTGACCAACTGAAGCCAACTGAATATATCAAAAGTGTTGCGACGGCAAGGATTTGAAGGAAGAAACAAACATACCAGCAGGTGGTGGAGACAGAATATCCAGACAAATCCAACAAACAGTATATCAGATTTCCACTTCTCTGATTTGAAGTAAATTACTCAAAAAAAAAATAAAGGGCCAACTTATAAACAAGTCAAACACAAAGCATTCTTTGGAGAACTTTGATTTAGGCAAGCATTCACACAAACACCATTGTTATCTCAGCTTTTTGTGGATTAAAGCTCACCACATACTCTAGTTGTTCTAAAGTCACACCACACAGCCTAAACATACCAACTTACCCATCGTATGGATAACTGATGATTGTGTAAGGAAACAGAAAACATGGCGTGGAAGGAAAGAAATGGAAAAAGTAAACAAATGAAGAGGATCAAAGAAATGAGAAGATGGTTTTCACATGCAGCCTCAGATCCTCATAAAAGAGAAAAGTGCTGCAACTCACAGCAACATGTCCTGCTGGTTCTTCTGAAAGACGGAGCCGATGTGCTGGAAGATCTCCGGGTTAAACAGGTATATACCACAGTTGATAATATCGCTCACAAATGTGCTGGGCTTTTCCACATAATGCAGAACCTGAGCAAAAAAAATAGACTTTTTTTAAAGTATCATCTTCAAAGTCTCTCAAAGTTTAAACACGGATGAATGGTGATGTAGACCAGATAAGGGGCGGTGAATACCTCATTTGTTTCCTCGTTCTCCACAATGCAACCATAATTCATGGACTGCTTCCTGTTTGCCTGAGAGTTGAGAAGTTTTCACATTAAGAGTCTAACATAAAAGTTTGAATAAAAGTGAGCAAAACAACAGTGGCCACTAATCGTAAAATCTCACCGTTGTCCCTAGAATAACAAAACTGTTTGGCTCTCCGTGCTCTTTCTGGAAGTTGAGCATCTCTGTGAGAGGAAACGCTGAGCAAACATCAGCATTCAGAACAAAGAAAGCCTCTGGACTGCCAGAGAGAATCTGATCTCTGAAGTGATAAATGCCCCCTCCAGTTCCCAGGGCTGCAAACTCCTGTAAATACCTGCAGTGCAGAGTGGAGAACAAAGAGATAGCTGTAATTGTTTAGCAATCTTGGTGCATTAGAGCTGTAAAATTCCTCCTTTCCCATAGATTTAAATAACAAAAGTATGTTTTAAAGAAAAATGCATTTTCTGTATTTCTCTAATGATGAAGACAAAAGCTCTCTTGTTCACCTGATGGACATTTTGAACTCCTGCTGTGCATTAAACAGGAATCGGTTCAGTTCTTCGTTTGGCTGATAAAAGCCGATGAGCAAAATCTCCTTTAAGTTTGGTACCTAAACAAACAAACACACAAAAAAAAACAAGAAAATTTATTTCAGAGGAAACAAAGACCGTCAAAAACATCATAATAATTATGGATGAAGCTGGATAACTTGCAGCAGGCCCATTAATTGGTAAAGATTAAATTCAAAGGTAAAATAATTTGTCTGTGGCTCAATTTAAATAACTCTAGAACAAAATAAAGGACTGATCATTTTAAGTTTCAAAAAACTTAATTGAAAAAGTGAAGTTGGGTCAGAAAAAGAAATGTGCATCACTTTGTAAAGTTATGTAACAACGTACAAGTTTAACCAATAGTATGCTTTCAGAAAATACAGGACACAAAAGAACAATTTAAAACCTAAATAATTAAATGACTAAAAATAATTAAAGTCAGTGAGTAAGTGTTCATGTATGCCATTTATCAGTCTCTCAAAATTGAGAAAATTCACAAATTCTCATTTATTGAGATGTAACTGTAGCTCTGTACACAACCTGAAAGAGGCACTCACTTTGGCACACGCCTCAATATGGTGCTGAAGCATGGGCACACCAGCCACTGGAAACAATGGTTTGGGAACTTCAAAAGACAATGGTCTGAATCTTGTCCCTGGAAAAAAAACCCCAAAACAAAACACCAGATTACCTTTAAAAACACATTTTAATATATCGTTATCTGGTAAACACTGGACCGATTTGAGTCTTACCTAAAGAACAGAGACTTATCTGTGACAACAGGTAAGTTTTCACTTGAGCCAACATAAATCCCATCAGGGGTACAGCAAGGTTTCATCTTAGTGTCTCTCTTATTTAATATATACATGCACCCACTTTCCAAAATTACAATAAGGAATAAAAATAGCAACCATAAATACACAGATGATACACAGCTTTACTTTACGATGTCACCATTTGAAGCTCTGAACAGATGCACAGAAAGACAAAAAAAAAAGTCAGTGTGTAAAAATGTGAAAGCTGTCTTCAGCTGAAACTGAAGTTGTTACTTTTGGACCTTAAAAGGAACAATATAGAGTCAGCATAAATATAGATATAGAGTCTGTGAGTACATAGATTTCACACCTGATCACTCTAGAAATAAGTGATGGAGGTCTGACATCTCCAGGGTTAAAAGGACTAAAGTCCCAACATGATTTTTGAAAAGGTCATCCATTTCCTGAGCAAAAAAAATAGACATCTTCAAAGTCTATTTTGAAGATGTCACAGCAACATGTGCAGTGTGCAGTGATCACATTGATCACTGCACAGTGTCTTCACCATTCTGCCGAAAATGTCAAACATCTGCAGCTGATCCAGAACGATGAACATGGGATACATGTATTCTGTTATGGTGGCAAAATAAATCTTGTTCAAGTGTAATTTCAAAAGAATCTCTCCTTCAGCTTTAAATAGGTTGAGAGCATAGACGAGGTGACATTAAACATAACGAGAAGATGTCTTGATTTGTGTGTCTTCGGATTAAGCCACGTCAGTCACATAAACAAGCTCAGCCAGTTTGTTAGCATTAGCAGCTTAGCTTCCCCTCAATAACACAAAAACATCACCGACTGTGGCGTCAGGACAGGACGCAGGTGGACTCTCACCTTTTTGGGGGCCTCCGATTAAAATGACCGCCTTCAGCATGTTGACCGAGGAGCCGTGTTGTGCCAGAACACCTGCCTGATGTCAACCTGTAACAGCTGGCTGCTCACTTCCGCGTCCACGTACTACTTGTGACGTTACGAGGTTACGGTGAAAACCCGGAGCAGAGACTGTGACAGGACGGGATTTGAGAGGCGCTGTCCGGTTTCTAAACGAGAAGTCTTGGAAATATCTTAAAATTTAGTGTAACGGATTGTAAAATGAAATGTCTAAATTATTTGTAGTTTATTTAAACTAAACAATTTAAATGAATTTCTAATTTAAGACTGTTGCAGATTGTTTATGTATGTTTGTCTGTTTTGGTTTGCATTGTTGGTGATTTATTTGGTTTAATGGTATTTTGTAATGTTTTGGGATTTTTTTGTTTAATACGTACCTCACGGGCTGCCGTAGAGAGAGAGAGGGCAGGACCTATAAAACTGGGGAATTGCAGTGAACCAAATGAACTGTCAAACGTTGGACTAAGAAATGGCGTTCCCCAGTAAAGGCAGCGAGTTTCCAGGTGATGTGTGATGATGATGGTGATGATGATGGAGGTTTTGAAGTCAAGTGACCTGACGATGATCCAGCAAAATCATCAAAGGAGAAATAAAGCCAATATCACCTGTCGAGACCGGCTGTTTTTTTAATTCAAGTACTGGGGATCAGCTACAGTGAAAACTCGTAATCTCCGTGTGCCTTCCACTGACGGTGAGACGTTTGGTACGGACATCGCCGAAGTTTGTCGCTCCTCGGAATCAACGCTACAATGAGGAACTGTCTTCGCGCTGGATCCAAGTTTGTATCAGAAACTGAATCTGACAGATGACCACTGGAGCGGTGAGACATTGACTGATCAATCAACGCGGAAATAACGGCACCTGCTCGATATTTATGAACTGAGTTTAGACCGCTATTGGGTCAAATGAAATTCTGAATTGTATATAAGGTAGTAGCATATGTAAGAAAAAATTATAAAAAAAAAAACAAAACAAAAAAAAAAAAAACAATGGTGTTTTGTAATTAAATGTTAAGTTTGAATGTGGGTTTAATTTCACTGTAAGGTCTTAGAGTTAAGATGTCACTGCCAAATGAAATGGATCTTTCTGCTGAAGATGTGAAAACTGAAGAAAAGCCAAAGGGACAAGAGTTGGTTTCAGGTCCTCGCACAAGAAAGTTGACTAAAAAGGGAGAGCAGTACAGAGAAGAAGAGTCTGCAAAACAGATAAAGGCATTTCTTAAGTCTTATGCATCCTGGAAACAAACTGCAAGAGAAGCAAGGAAGAAACTAAAGGGTTTCTGCTCTGAGGAGAATCTGGATGAAATAAATAAGCAAGTCCAGAACAGTCTTGATAAAGTGAAACAGAATTATGAGTTTCTTCAACGTAATTTTTTAAATACTCCAGATATTGTGCAGAAACTAGATGCCTGTACTATATTAACAAATGAGATTTATGATCTTGTGTGTAAGCGTTTAGAAAGGGGTATTGTTGAGGAAAACTTTAATCAAGAAGTTGAAAAGGAAAGAGTGAGAGAAGTCTTAAGCAGAGATGAATATCAATCTGTTTTTGGAGAAGCGTCTATTGAAAGTTCTCCCTGCAGTTCATCAATTACTAGCTCCAAGGTTTCTCAGGGGCGTGTAATGGCAGAAGCTGATCTTGCAGCCAAAAGGGTTCAAGTTAGATCAATGTTGGAGATTGAAGCTCAGCATGCTAAAGTCAGTAAACTTGAATGTGACTGGAAATGTCATGAGTCCCAGATTATGGCAGAAATGAAGCAGAAGGAAGCTGAAGTGCTACAGCAGCTTGATGAAGAGAAGAGCAAGTTAAAGGTAATGCAAACAGACATGGAAGTTAAGATGGCTGCAGCTCGGGTTGATGTTTACAGCAGACTTGAAGATGGTGTTGAAAAGGGAAATCTTGATTTTAAGTCTGAGGTTAAATCAGAGCAAACACTGAAACACCCAAGTCATAAAGCTGCAAAGGTTGCATCAATTCTACCACCTCATGTTTGTGCTGAGATTCCTGCAGTGAACTTGGCTGAAGCCTTAACGAGCTCATTGAGTTTAAGTCGCCTTCCTGTTCCTGAACCTGCTATATTCTCTGGTGACCCTTTGAAATTTGTGGACTTTAAAATATCATTCACAACTTTAATTGATTCAAAATCCATCTCTGCTGGGGAAAAAATGTTGTATCTGAAAAGTTATCTTTCAGGAGAAGCCCGAAAGGCTGTAGAAGGTTTCTTTTACAGAAGCTCTGAGGACGCATATGAAGGTGCTTGGTCAGTTTTACAAGATAGGTATGGAAACCCATTTGTCATCCAGAAAGCATTTAGGGATAAACTTATGTCATGGCCAAAGATTGCACCAAGCGATCCATTGTCTCTCAGAGATTTTGCTGACTTTTTGAAAGGTTGTGAAGAGGCTATGCCTCAAGTAAAGGGACTGTCCATCTTAAATGACTGTGAAGAAAAATCATAAGATGTTGAAGAAGTTACCAGACTGGGATGTACGTAAACGGAGTAGAGTTGTTGTTGAAGTACTTGATGCATGTGGAGAATATCCATCCTTTGAATGTTTTTCTAGATTTATACAAAAGGAAGCACGTATAGTATGCAACCCTGTTGCTTCTCCATTTTTGTTAAAGTCTAGAACTTCTTCAAATGACCTTTCCAGGAAAGCAAAGGTTCTTAACACCAGTACGGAGTTTAAGAAACAAGAAAGTGTTCATGGTTTAAAATCTAAACTGCCTTGCTTGGTTTGTGCAGACATGTCACACAGTGTTGCTAAATGTCCTAAATTTGCAGTTAAATCAATGGAAGACAAAAGATCATTTATATATCAGAACCATCTTTGTTTTGGATGCTTAAGGAAAGGTCATTTATTGAAAGATTGTAAAACGCGGCATGTTTGTGGGAGTGTAGACGGCATCATCCTACTTGTTTGCACAAGGAGAGAGTCAGATCTCATGATGTTGCTCAGCAGTGTTCCATAACTCCAGAAGAAACACCTCAGGTTTCTCATAGTGTTTTATCTCATGCACTCATCCGAAAACATTTCTGCTACATCAAGTATTGTTCCAGTTTTCCTGTCCTCTGTGAAGGATCCTGGGAAGGAAATACTTACATATGCACTCCTTGATACTCAGAGTGACTCCTCCTTTGTTTTAGAAGATCTTGTGAGAAACTTGATTGTTGAAACCAAACCAGTACAGTTAAAACTTAGTACCATGGTTTCTGTTGATACACCCATTTCAAGTCAAAATGTGTATGGCTTGCAGGTTTGGAGTTTTTTCTCTGATACTTGTATACAGTTGCGGCAAGCATATACACGTGACTTTATTCCTGTTGATACATCTTGCATACCAAGTAGAAGTACAGCATTACAGTGGCCTCATCTTAAACATCTAGCTGGCAAAATGCCTGCTTTGCAAAACTGTGAAGTAGGTTTACTTATTGGTTTTGACTGTCCTTCTGCTTTGGCTCCCTTGGAAGTTGTTGTTGGTGGGGAAAATGAACCTTTTGCTCAGAAGACTGCTCTTGGTTGGAGTATTATTGGGGCAATTAATCCACATTTAGATCGGCAAGGAAACCAAAGATATGTACACAGAGTGATGGTGAAAGAAATGCCCACTCCATTAACTTCTGATGTTTTAAGAGCTTTGGAGTTGGATTTTAATGAAAGGGGTTCAGAAGGAAAATGTGTTTCCCAAGATGACATTCGGTTCATACGACTTCTGAGCGAAAACATTATACAAAAAGATGATGGCCATTTGGAGATGCCCCTTCCATTTAAAAAAATCCTGCCTTCCTATGTTGCCAAACAATAAGACGCTGGCTACCGTTCGTTTACAACATCTGAGGAGAAGGTTAAAGAGAAATGATCAGTTCTACAATCATTATAAAACATTTATGGAGTCTATCATTAACTGTGGAGATGCTGAACTAGTTTCTGAGGAAAATGCCAATGATGGTTGTGTGTGGTACTTGCCTCATCATGGGGTGTATCATTCAAAGAAACCAGATAAGTTAAGGGTAGTGTTTGACTGCTCAGCTAAATTTCGTGGCATCTCTTTGAATGATACTTTGTTGACTGGTCCAGATTTGATCAACTCTTTAACTGGAATCCTCTTGCGTTTCAGAAAAGAAGCTGTGGCTATTACTTGTGACATTGAAAGGATGTTCCACCAGTTTTATGTTACGTCTAACCATCGCTGTTACCTGAGGTTTTTATGGTGGGAGCAAGGAGATTTGGAAAGTGAGCCTAAAGAATATCAAATGAAGGTCCATCTTTTTGGTGCTGCCTCCTCTCCAGGCTGTGCTAATTTTGGTCTGAAATATTTGGCACAACTGCAGAGATTAAAGTTTCCATCTGCAGCAGCATTTGTGGAGAATAATTTTATGTTGATGATGGTCTAATAAGTGTTCCTACAGCTAATGACACTCCAGATTTTTTGGAACGTTTCACTAAGTTTTCATCTTGGTCAAAATTGATTAAAGTTGTTGCCAGAATCAAAAGACTTGGATGCCACAACAAATGCTATTCAAACGTGGTGAGTGTTAAAGAACGGGAAGATGCTGTTAATCAGTGGTGAAACTTGTACAAGAACAGGCTTTTGGCTCCGAGATGAGGTTGTTAAAAGGGGGACATCCTTCCCGTTCTAGCCCTTTGTTCAATTTGAATCCTATTGTAAAAGATGGACTGCTGCGAGTTGGTGGACGATTAAAACATTCACCTCTTAGTGAAGATTTTAGATATCCACTGATTTTGCCAAAACACAGCCATGTTACTCATCTTATTTTGTCTTACTGTCACAATCAAGTAAGTCATCAAGGCAGAGGTCAAACTCAAATGCAGGTCCGGCTTAATGGGTTTTGGATTATTGGCTGCAGCAGGTTGGTGGCTCAGATGATTCATAAATGTGTGCAGTGCAGGAAGATCAGACGTCCAGTGGAAGAACAACTTATGGCTGAGCTTCCAAAGAACGCTTGGAAGCATCTGCACCATTACCTATTGTGGAATGGACTGTTTGGTCCTTTATTGTTAAAAGAAATCGTAAGGAATACAAAAGGTATGGGTTTTTGTTCACCTGCCTTTATTCAAGAGCTGTTCACATTGAAATGTTGGAGGATTTGTCCACAGATTCTTTTATTAATGGCCTGCGCTGTTTCATTAGTTGAGAGGAGCCGTTCAGATATAGATATCAAGGAAGAATTTTGTAGGAGCCCAAAATGAGTTTAAACAATGTGGTCCTAAACATTTGGAGTCTTTCCTGGCAGAAAATCAATGTGAGTTCATTTTTAATGCACCATCAGCAAGTCATGCTGGTGGTGTTTGGGAGCGTCAGATACGAACCATTCGAAATGTATTAGCTTTTACTCTATCACAAAACTTGGGAAAACTTGATGATGCTTCATTAAGAACTTTCTTTTATGAAGCCATGGCCATAATTAATAGTCGTCCTTTAACACTGAAGGGAATGAATGACCCTGGTTCTCTTGAACCTTTAACTCCTAACCATCTGCTTCAGATGAAGTCTGAGTCTGCCTTGCCTCCTGTAGGAAAATTTGTGAGGGAGGATATCTATTCCTCAAAACGTTGGCGCTGTGTGCAGTTTCTGGTTGAGCAGTTTTGGAGTCGGTGGAAGAGAGAATACCTCCAGAATATTTCCATTAGACAAAAATGGCATGTAGTTCGGCGCAATTTAAAAATAAATGATATTGTAATAGTAAAAGAGGATTTTCTCCCAAGAAATAGGTGGCAGTTGGGTCGTGTTGTTGAAACAATTGTTGATAGCGATGGCTTGGTTCGAAAAGTAAAATTGAGGACAGGAGAACAAAGATCAGGTAGGGATATTATTTCTAAGAGTTCAGTAATAGAAAGACCGGTGCAAAAATTGGTGGTATTAGAAAATGATTTGTAAACTTAATGTACACAGACGAGCATGTTTTTAAACAATCTGCATGATTTTTTTTTTAAAAAAAACCTTTTAAATAATGCATAATTTTAGTAATGGTTCATGCATTATTGGTGGGAGTGTAACGGATTGTAAAATGAAATGTCTAAATTATTTGTAGTTTATTTAAACTAAACAATTTAAATGAATTTCTAATTTAAGACTGTTGCAGATTGTTTATGTATGTTTGTCTGTTTTGGTTTGCATTGTTGGTGATTTATTTGGTTTAATGGTATTTTGTAATGTTTTGGGATTTTTTTGTTTAATACGTACCTCACGGGCTGCCGTAGAGAGAGAGGGCAGGACCTATAAAACTGGGGAATTGCAGTGAACCAAATGAACTGTCAAACGTTGGACTAAGAAATGGCGTTCCCCAGTAAAGGCAGCGAGTTTCCAGGTGATGGTGATGATGATGGTGATGATGATGGAGGTTTTGAAGTCAAGTGACCTGACGATGATCCAGCAAAATCATCAAAGGAGAAATAAAGCCAATATCACCTGTCGAGACCGGCTGTTTTTTTAATTCAAGTACTGGGGATCAGCTACATTTAGTAAAACAAAACTGAATTTGCTTTAAATGTTTGTCTATAACGCAGATCAGAGATAAATATAAAAGATTAAGAAAGATTAAATCATTTATCTCTTAGTATTTTGTTGCAAAACATGCAGAAATGAATACAAATCATCAAAAATCAACATGTACAATTATTTTACACAACAAAACCACACATAAAGCATAAATATTAATGAACGTTGACTGTAGAAACTTTTCGTGCCCTTCTTTAAGCAATGGTTTTCTTGTTGCCACTGGTTTAATATGGCCAGATTTGTGGCTTGCACAAGTGTCCCATTATCTCTCATCTGAATTGTGGACGTCTGCAGCTCCTACAATTTCTTTATTAATGCTCTTCTTGCCTGTTGGTTAGGTGAACGACAAAGTCTTCATAGGTTGGCAAATGTTATGTACTCTTTCCATTAGAGTAAAAGTTCAGAGAAATGCTTTAATGTTGGGATGTTGTTTTGCTGAAAATGTCCCCACATTTTTAATTCTGGTGTGTTTCTCTCCATTCAGCATTCGCTCTGCAGAATCAGTACATTGTATTTATTAAAACAATTTTCTTTGAACTGGCGACATATTTTGAAGTTTGCAGAGAACACAGTTATAATTACATATTATATGGTGTATCAATTCTTACTTCAATTTCACCAAAACCAACAATTTTTAGAAAGTAAAATAAAGTTAATATTTTAGAAAAAGTCCAGGCCACTACCTTTTGACCTCATTAAAGGAGAACCAATGGAGCAACTTATTAGTAAGAGAGAAATAAAGGATGAAGCAAACAGTAAAAGGGTTTTACAAAATTATTGATTTTCAAAGAGAGTCACACAAAAGGCCACATTTATCAGTCCCTGATTTCACACTTAATGACGAATTTGAGGCCTTACTTTCTGGAAAGATATTCAGAAATGGACAAACTCTAATTCATCATTCCATCATTTTTATATCTGAAATGTAATTACTTTGTAGATATTTCAATTCAATTCACTGGTAAATAATTAATCCCAAAGCAAAATTAAACATTTTAACTCATGTGATTCAGCATAACACACAGTGATTGTATTTGTGCTTTTTATGTTTTTCATAAGGGTGCAACAAAATGTTTCCTACTGGGAAACATTTTCCTACTGCAAAATGTTGGACTGATGGTCCAACATTTTGCTCATCTTTGTTGTTTTTTATTATGTTGAAACATAAAAAGGCAGAAAACATTAAGATATGCACATCAGCCACTACATTAAAAACCAAGCTTTTAAATCGATTTGAGACAAAAAATAATTTAAGTTATTCACACTTTTGTAAGTACTTTTAATAGAAAAAAAACAAAAGCTATGTTGTTGTGATGTAATTACATAAAGACTCCCATAAAAGAGACATTAAACCTGGCAGTGATACAAAATGCGAGGACATGATTGCTGTGTATGTTACACTAGGTCAAATAAAATAATGTTCAAGCAGATAACTGGAAGTAGCAAATGGCAATGTTTATTTCTTCACAGGTTCAGCTCAACTCTCTTGTGCACAGCAACAGCGCCACCAACGCCAAATTGTTATAATTCCTTTTGCTTCAGATTTTACAACAAACAGCCTCAGAGGGCAAAATTAGACCTAAAGCGTTCAACAATCTTAAATCTGGAGGTTCAATTATTTCTTTGTTTGGAACACCACATAATGTTTCATGACATATTTCAGCTCTGTCACCTGAAACTTCAGTTCATTGTCTTGTTTCTCACAGTATCTTTTGCACCAACACAAAGTAGGTTAAGTTGTTATTTAAGAGTTATTGCAGAAAGCAAAATAACTCAGCTGTCAGTTTGAAAGACTCATAGAGACAGCAAATAGTGTGCAGTCATCTCTAATGGAAGAGTCTGCTTTCATTCCTCCTCATTAAAACATAACCTGAAGTAAAACAGTCTCCTGAGTGGTGGTGTTCAGAACTCAAACACATGCAAATAAGGTGTTAGTTTTCATCAAACAAAATGCAAGAACATTTCAGTCACCAAGGGGTGAAGATGCTCTGGAGTAGGCATCGTTTGGAGAAGAGGCAGAGGAATGTGAAGCACTTTCAAACTGTCGAAAGTTTAAAAATGTATTTAATTTGCCTGCGTCTCTGCCTAAACAGTTTTCTTTTATAGCGCTTCTGTTTTTTATAGGCTGCTTTGGTTTTTTTAACTAATCGAGAAAAAAAAAGTGAATAAATGCAAAATTCTTAACATTCAGTTCTAGCGGTTCTGCCTGTTACTAAAGTCTGATAACTGACTCAGTTATTAGTCTGCCTGTTCTGATGAGGCGATTTTGGTTCTGAAAGATGGCAGATCAAAGTTGGGTCAAAACTTTTCCCATCATTTCTTTTTGCCCGTCAGATTAATGAAGGAACTTGAGTCAAAATGAAGCCATAAAACCCATTTCCTTTCAATCCTGAGAGACATTTATTCCCTCATTACAGGACATCTTTGTATTCTGCAGTGAGAGACTAGAACTAGTGCTGCATCTTTATGATTATATTTAATTTTGAAACGGAATTGCATATATTAGTTTAATATTTCCTCTTAATTATGACCGTCAGTTCCTCTATAATCTTTAACTAAAGTATTTATTTTAGTGTTTTAATTTAAATGTGATTATTATTGTTCAGTGAATAGGACAATGCAGTGCCCTTTAATTTTTCATAAGTTTTGTTATGTTGTAACTGTTATTGGTTTATGAGAAATATAAATATTATGTGGAGAACTCAGGCGGCCCAAGACTACAGGGCCCATAACAATGCAGAACTTAAAACATTAAATTCTCTGAGCATTGAAGCATAAATGATGACATTGAGAAAAGTTTATATTTGATTTTTGTTCATAAATGATTGACATAGAACTGCCACTGTTAAGAGATACTTTTATATATTTGTACAGGTTTCAATGTATTAAATTTATTTCAGCATTTTTTTTTACAAATCAATTTATTTTCAAACCTATAAATCATAATAAACATTTTATAATTGACAAACATATCTAATTAAAGTACCAGGAAATTCGGAGATAAAAAACAAACAAACAAAAGAAGCAATAAAAATAATATTTATTGAACATTTCTCAAAGATTTGATAGTTTCACACCAGTAAATCACTATTGTGCTAACAGGGAGGTTGTTCCTAAGTAAACCTTAACAGAGGATGTCAGCTCTTGTCACAGCATAATTTATCCCCTAAGGAATTTCATATTCAGGGTGAAAGGGTCATGAAAGCCAAAGATATGTACATAACTGTGTTTCTGGTTCATTTAACGGACAACAGTTACATTTCTTTTTAAAGAAAATGCAGTGGTTTTGCTTTGACTCATTTTAAACATGAAATAATCCTCACAAAGAAAGGCAGAAATATAAAAATAAAGTAGCAGACAAAGTCACTTTGACTTAAAAAATAAAAATCACATGTTTGTTTTGACTTATTTGGCCTCAATATTATACAAATTAAGTCAGTACAGAAGTGAATATTGTCTAATAATGCATAAATACAGCATAACTCAATCATTCAACAATTATTCAAGTGGTGTCAAGAGCCATCAACAGAGGTGTTTATGTCAGCTGGTTTCTAGCTGCGTCCTTAGTGAAAAAGAAACCAACATAAAATACTTATGAACTTGCTCTCAGGATATTAATATCCATACAGCATCACTCCTTATATCACCTAAAACTAATTATGTAAACTGTTCATTGAAATCAAGAAACCTAGTCTTTAACTTGTGCATCATTATTATCAGTCATTCCTGCATTGGTTTGGTGTGGAATGCTTTACGTCGTAGCTTATATCCATCCTCCTCTGGATAAGTGGTCAATATATATTTTTTATCTGACTTCATATAGCCACAAATTAAATCTGTACCGCAATTGTTATTTTACCTTTTTATCCTTATTTATTAGCATAAATAAGTTTGGTAACTACAGTTTTAAACTGGTAAACATTCCTTCAGTCGATACAGCAAAGATTCAACTTTCAAAGAGAAACACTGATCACAAAAATGTTTTTGTTTTTAACTCACCTGGAACATTTAGCTGCAAAGCCTGTTTGTTTTAACACCAGTCTTCATATTTAATGCAGTCTCAGTTCTGCATGCTGCCGCATTGTTCCCATCAATATAGTTCAGTAAGGTGACATAATTCAGATCACAATACCTTCACATATCTTTGTTCACATTCACAAAGTGAAGCATTTTCAGATTGTAAATATTACTTCTGTTTTCTTACAAGTGAGAAAAGGAAAAGTACTTCAGCGTTTTACCTGCAGTCAACAGCGATCAGAGTAATTCGATCATCAGACGATGAAGGTGGGAAATGTGTGTAGTATGCAAGTCAAAATCCAACATGAGGACTCAAGTGTTTAACTGGTAAAAGTGAAATTGCTAGAAAGTTTCAGAAGAACTGAGCACTTATTGCCAGACAGAAATATATCCGAAACCTGGAGACGAAGTCATCTTATATTACTGCAGCTCTTTAACCCCATCGCCTCTTTTGTCCTCATCCAGCTTATAGTTCATCCCCTTTGTCACAGTTTCTTTGTGTTTCTCCACACTGGGAGATTTCTGATTCCCGTCGACTGCAAATAAGACACTGACAGCTTGTAAATATTTTGCACATCCCCTTCTCAAAAAAAAAAAAACAATAAAAAAAAACAAGCTTCCAACATGGACACAGCTGAAAAGCAAAAAGGAAATATTCTCTGATGAGCACACACAAATACCTTTTGCAAGGAAATAGTGATTTTCCATTTGGCTCAAATCAAACTGTAAAAAATCCAGATCTCGCTATAAAAAGGAAAAAAAAAATACCTACAACAAAAAAAAAAAAACATCATTGGATTTGTTAAGTTAAACAAATCTTTTTTATGAATTTGACATAAAAAAGCACACATACTTACTCCCAAAATTTTAACAGCCAGAGAAACATATTGCTGCTGTTAAACAAGGTCTGTAACGGAAACTTGTGTTTTATATTATTATTAGCAAAAAGTCCTAAGAGTTCTAACTATTTAACAATTCAAAACCTTGCAGCCTGAACTACTTAAAGCATCCGTAAAAGAAACCTGATTGTACCTATTTGCAAAATGACCAAACATTATTCTTGAAGGTCTACATGACGTGTATTATTGTGTGTATGGTACTATAAGATGAACGTGCAATTCTCTAAACAGGAATAAATTTATCATTAAACTACAATCCTGGAGAGAGAAAATAGGACTACTATGTTACGATTAAATAATAAAGATGGACTTCTTTTCCTATTGGTCACACTCTGCTCAAAATGCCATAATGCCCATTCATAGATTTTCGAACCAGAAACACTGGTTTGTCCGTTCTGTACTGGAGTCCTTTTGCTTTACTACCTCCTGTTAAAGAGGTCTTTCCGTTTTCGTAGCTCCTCTAAGACCCGCGCCCTGAACTGCATCCAGTCTTCGTCCAGGAACTGCTGGACGCCCAGAGCCTGATGGAGCTCTGCAGAGTGGCTGCGGAGGAAAGGGTTGTACTGCTTCTCCTCCCCGATGGTGGAGGGGCTCTGATAATGAAGTGCATGACAAAAACAATTCAGTCTCAGAAAGCTCCAATCACTTTGTTTGTTCTCTTTTTGGCAGAAAGGAAATGTATGCAGCAAAGGATTTCTGCAGCTGAAAATCAGCTCAGATTTACATTTGTGGATGTCTGACCCAATTTGAATACTGCTTCGTTTATTCATGCATTTTTTGGACCCTGAAGTAACTTATGTAGCTGAAGAATATGTATCCAGAGTATTAAAAATATTTCTGAATAATCATTACTGACCAGAATTCATTCAGCTTTGCTGGCTAAAGTATTTACAATGATTTTGTAAAGGCAGAGCCACAACATTCAGGATATTAGAAAAGGATTCCATGTGACGAACCAATGCAAAGTCATAAATAATTATAAAAATGAGAGGAAAACAATACATAATTTTCCATTTTTGTCCCCCATCCTTTGATACCCCTTAATTAAATCCAATGCAATTCAGCAAATATGTGGAGGAATATGTCAATGAAGCTGCTCAAAGGCTAAGATGAATAAAACTTAGTAATGGGTGAATATTATGATCTGAAAATGCGCAAAAGAGGTCGACACAAAATCAAATGTTTGATGCAATGGAAGTGAAAATTGTGTTCCAAAATTACTTTATGCTGCAGAATCTGAAGTGTGCAAATCTTAAAAAAACATGTACAGAATAGGCCATAAGTTTACATACACAGGAACGTGTAAAATGTATATGTCCTTTATATTTCAGATACCCAACGAGATGTGTTTGAACAAAGAGCAAAGAATTGAAATTATACTGACGGATGGATCAGGAAGAAGTTGCAGGGTTGCACAAAACTTGAACAGAAAACATGAAACGAGCATCACACACGACACTGTGGTAAAAGTCCCACCAAAATAATAAAATGTTTATTTTTTTCCATGTATGAAAACTTATAGCCCATCTATGCTCAACTTTGTGTCTGTCACATAAAATTCCTCAAAAATACATTTAAGTTTGCAGTTTTGAAGTGAGAAAAGCTATGAATACATTTTGCATAACAGACATGCGGCTTCATGAAAATCAGCCACAAACAGAAAACATGAGCAGAGCCTGAATCTCATTAGGCTGCTTCAGTGTCAGAGTCCTGGCGCCGTTCGTACTGGTTCACCATCACACTGCCGTGGCTTAGAGGACACATGGATACACTGGAGTCTATGCTAATCTTATTAGTAACACCTGGCCTTTCCCTTCCATGAAAAGCCAAAACGCCTGTCTGAAGTCAGATGCGACTTTCTTTTCCAAAAGAAATTCCCGAATCAGGAGCCAATATCACCTGGAACGGAATAGGTTACCATAAAGCTGCTCTGTTTTGGGATGAGAAATGAGTGAACAATGTCCTCTGATGCCAGGAACTAACTGTAAAATAGTAGGGATTTTATTTCATGAACAGGAAAATAATCAGCAACAATTCGCTTTCAGACAATGTCACAGCCAATTAAATGTGTTTACGCTTTTCTCCAATAACAATTGCCAACTGTGCAGAAAATGTGATATTGAAAATCTTTCTATGCGTTCCCTTGTAAAAATATTTGTACGCTTTTATTTTTTTATTAAACATTTCTGTAATATTATAACCAAAAACTAAAAACAGTTTTGAGCTCTTATTTTATAACGCAAAGTAGTGCACAATAAAAAGGATTATTTTAAGTGGGCTTTTCCACATAAAAACATGAAAACTGTGGCAAGCATTTGTCCTCAGCCTCCTTTCACTCTGATTTAGGGCTGGAACAATTCCTCGAATGATTCGATTACCTCCATTATTAAAATCCCTCGAGGAAAATGTATCTGCCTCGAAGCTTCGTTAAATTATGTTTTATTATGTTGCACATGGTGTTCCAGCCGGGTCATTGTTTGTGTTGGGCAGTGATATCTTTCCCGCCTGCGAGTCGTGTTAAGTGATGGCTGCACAATGTCAAATTTTCCTGGTTTTTATTGTTTGTTAGGGGACCAGTAAGCATTCTTTAATCAACTGGTGCGGTGCTTGCAGTACGCCACCATTTCCCGTTGCAGAAAGAGAGAGAAAGAGCTTTAAAAAAAAGAAAGAGAAAGAGATTTTTTCCGGATTACGCAATTAATCATAACAATAATCAATATTCTTTTACAACAGATTTTTCCGCAATAAAATTCAGTTGATTGGATTTTTACTGGCAGCGCTCCACACAGATGTTTCCTTTTTGAGTCAATTTCCTGATCTGCGTCTGATTGGTAGAGTTGTTTTCATCCACCTTGCCCACAGTAAAGAAAAGTGAAGCAATATAAAATGCAGGTGATCAAGTACATAAAAGTTCAAGAGGTATGAACACTTTTGCAACATGCCGTATTTTGGAAATGGAGGTTGACAAAACTCCGGGAGGTAAAAACTAATGGAACAGCCTCTGCAGTCATGTTGTATTGATAAGAGGTAAAAAGCAATCTAAATTCCAGGTAAGCCCTGAACTGAGAGTCTCTGCCCAGCTGCAGAGTGCATCACAGATGAAGCTCGACAGTAAGCCTGGAAGGTTAGGGAGGTGACGGGAGTGTGCAGACCAGGCTTTGACAGCATGTAAACTGTATGCAGCGATAAGCCTTGTTTCCCAGGTGCAGGACAACACGAGTCCTTTCTGGGAAGGCGGGCTTGAGGAATATAACAATGGTAAAATATCATTCTCACCGAACAAAGCTTCTGGTCTCGCTGCTGCAGCACCCACTGATATTTGTTTTCTCTGGTAGCGTTGTGTGGCTCGACCTCAGCAGCAAACAGCAGGTTGTCCTCTGCATACTCATGACCTGCGGGTTCAAGGACACGGGAAAAAAAAAATCAAAAATTCACTGCATGTCAATGACACTGAAAAGCTTTCAAAGTGTTTGTCGTAACATGACAAAAAATCAAGCATACTTTGAATGGATTCCAGTTAAAAACTGTCCATAGTTTGCTTCACAAATACTTCTGAATGACAACATGAGAGAAATGAATGGATTAACTAAACAGTGTAACTTTAATCTGATCGTTTTTTGTTTTTCTAGACTCTCAATTCTTTATGTAAATTTAAGGATGGACAGAAGGAAACAAAGAAAAAACATAGACAGGAAAGAACACAATGAAGGACATGAGAAGAAAAGAGGGAAAGACATGAGGATGGAAGAATGGAAGGCCACAAAAGAGGTAAGAAAGAAAACATGAGAGGAAAGAAGGAAAAAAAGAAAGGACACAAGGAAGGGCAAAAAAGGAAGAAAATGAAAGGCCATAAAGATGAACAGAAAGGACAATAAAAGGAAATAAAGTGTGGAAACAAATGCATTTCTAAATATTTATCCAGACCTGAGAAAAGCTGAAATCAAATTAAGCACTTTTCTAAATAGTTTATGGCTTTGTGAGAACTCTTGTTCTTTCAATCTGAAGTTTGAAAAAAAAAAAAAAGCTTTTCTGTCTGACAGTAGAAGCAGTTTACATACCTGGCCACAGTAAAGTATCGTCACTTAAGGAGCCGACCGTGTCCAGAGATGAGAGCATTGTTGTGGCACTGCCCTCAAACATCCTCCCTGAAAACATTAAGTTCAAATCATCTTGTTAGAAGAAACAAGTATTTCTTCTAACAATAATAGAAATATCCTTTATTGTCCCTTACAGGGAAAATTAACTTGTACAAAAGCAAAGGGACAGTAAGGACAATTTTTCAACACCATAAGAAAAAAATACAGTACAATTCAAAGAAATGTGCAAATGAGTCAGACATTCTGAAAAAAATAATAAAAAATGTAAACCTAATAAGTATTGCAAGTGGTACTGTTCAAAAATGACAGAAAAGTATTAAGAAATACAAAATCAAAGTCACACATTTGCATTTTTTCACTTTTATTTCAACAGCTGGCCTGTTTCCAGTTGACCTAAGTTGTTGTGAAATTGATGTTTTTCAGCATTGCACAATCTTCCCTGTTTTTCTTTCATCCGTGTCCTAACTCGTTCAATACAAGTTGAGGAAATTATGATGAGTGTCGCCCAAAAGCAAAAAGAAAACTAATCAAAAAGTGTTCAGGTGAAAAAAAAGAAGTAAAAAAGCTTTTCCCCCCAATAAATGATAGTTGAAAATTTTTTTTCTGGAATCTGGAATGTTTGGTGCTGAAAAGATCTGTCTTGGTGTCATTTGGTCCAGTTAAAGTCTCAGTGTAATTAACATTTGTAAAGAAACTGGCTGGTATGTAGAAAGCATCTAACGGTTGTTTCATGGATTTGAAGAGCCCGAGAAGTCTCTCTTTGCTGCAGTTTTCCAACAGTGAGCTTTAGAGGTTTACTTTACCTCCATCCCATAATGCTCCCTGTGTGTGAGAGCAAGATAAATGTGGGACTAATGGAGCCTTGTTTGTCACAGTTCCACTTGTTCTAAAGTTTTTCATTATTGCTCCGACTCTAGATATAAACAAGTTTTGACAAGCAGCTACTTTTTGTAGCCAACTTCTGACTTACAAAGACTAACATGTCTTTTCCAATTCTGAAAGTGTCTAACAGAAATGTGTCCCATCATATTTATGCCCCAGTTGAATGGCGTGTCATAAAATTAAAAGTTTCAAGACATTGATGTAATTTAAGTATAAATTTAAAAAGTTTATTGGCTTGCAAGAGTTTTTCATTAATTTACGCAAAGAAAAGAAAAATGGAAAAATGAAACAAAGTAAGAAAGAAGCGAGGAACTCAAGGACTTGAAAGGCCTTGAAAAAAGGATCTGAGGAAGGACACAAGGAAATAAAGAAAAAAAGAAAAATAAGGGCAAAAAAGATGACAAGGAAGGAAAGAAGGAAAAGAAACAACAACGTAAGGGAGGGAGGAAAGAATTGAAGGAAAACAGCATTTATGCAATGAGATAAGAAATAAAGGCTGGAAAAACTGTTTCTTCATACTCATCTTTTTTAAATACTTAAGCAGATCTAGAAAATAATAAAATTTTTTACTTTTCAGACGGCCCTGCAATTATTAAAAGGTTTGTCAGAACAACTGCAAAGGGACTTGAACTGAAGCCAATGTGCCACTGAAATAAAAGATAATAAAAGATGATAAAAAAAAGTTAAGGTTTTGAACATCTTTAAACAGAAACTAACAAGCATTTATGAAAAGCGATGTGTAACTGACCACATCCTGAGAGGAACACCAGATCCCCAGAGAAGAGGCTGGAGGGAGAACCGGCCGCCGGGCCGTCCAGGAGGTAGATCATGTGACCCACGGTGTGTCCAGGGGTGAACAGGGCCCTAAAGTGCAACCGACCCACATTTACTGTGTCTCTGTGCGAGAGTGGGCTGGGAAGAGCAAAAATAAATCAAACTGATGTCCACAAAACTAATTAACGTAATTAGAAAAAAGTAAAAGCTAGAAAAAGAAAACAGGAAGTCATTCAATGCGACCTATGATCTAAAATAAACCCCCACAAGACAAACAAGAACAGTTAATCGCAGCGTGATAATTTACTGTGAAGTCAGCTGCTGCTGCGAGGGCTGGCGGAGGGAACAAGACACGACTCATTACAGTAAAAGGCAAACGTTGAAAGTGTGTGTGCTGCCCGTGCAGGCTGGGACTTACTGTGTGAGGCCAGGAATGTTATCAGCCGCGCTTCCGTACACATGACAGGAGCTGTGAAGCCTTTTCAGGCCTTTGTTGCCCCCGCTGTGGTCCCTGAAAACACAAGAGAAGATAAAGGACCTTTGGAAAACTACCAGAACTGACACATCTGAATATTTAATTTAGATGTATTTTGTTGCTGAAAATAAGCTAACTCTATATACACTTAAACGTATGCTTACCAAAATTACTAGATACTCACCAGTGCTTGTGGGTACATAATATAGCTTCTAACATTACTCCCTCTTCTTCAAGCACCGTCTGAAAAGTTATAAAGAAACATCAACAAAGTGTGCCATTTACATGTAAGCTGGGAGAACTAACTAATAACAAATGCTTTTACTTTAGCAGTTCATCATTGGAGATTTTACCAGAAACCTGACAAGGTAAACTTCCCACATTTGTCGAAAATACAGCTTCAGGTGTCAAAACACTTCTGCATTAACGGGAAATGACAGCTGATGTGTTCACCTGAACTGTTTGAGGGTCTGCAGGGTCTATAGCAACTGCAACACTGGAGGCTGTGTCAATAACAAGGTAGCTGTAGTTGTCAGACAGAACGGAGATAGGAATTATTTTAATACCTGTGGACAAACAAGAAGAGGACAGATCAGAATACACACAAAATCCATAAATACACGGAAAAAAAGATGACTTCCCTGCTGAAGCTTATAGAATAATATATACCAGCTGAACCTTTTTACAACTTGTAAACGCAAACATTTACAACATAATACTGAAGAGAAAAATAATAACATATATAATAATAACATTTTGTTTTTTCTACATTGTTCCTCTGTCTGTATATTTAGTTTTGTTATTCTTTGTTTTTTTAAAGCATCACAGCATGATGCCGTCATGTATGTTCATGGTTATGTGCAGTTATGTGTAACAAAACTTGATCAGAGCTGCAGGTTTTTTTAAGGTTCAGAAAAACCTTGAAAAATGTATTAGGATTTTATATCTACTCGAAAATTATCTCGGTGAGACTGTCATAGAAAAACAGAGTGACTTCAGTCAGAGGCTTCCTCAAATTTGTTGTAATACAGGCCGCTACAGGAGATTTTCCTACCCATAGCCATCACCTCTGACAATAATTCTTTAATTAAATGGGTTACAGCAACATTTAATTTAAACTTAAACACAGACAAACAAGGTTTGATGCTTCTTCTTTTATAGAGATGTTATTTATCGAACATTATGTAACCACAAGAAAATGGTTAAGCCAGTAAGCCATTTGAGTGTCCATGAAAATACTGCTGTTATTATATCTACATATAAAAACACTTGTTGGTTAGATTTTTAGCCATAGAGGAAAGACCCCTGGGCGAGCCTGTGAGTTTGCATTAGTGTTGAATTCTTTATATTTTTGACTAGTGGGCTTTTCAAGTCACTTCAGAAGGATATTAATTTTATTTAGAGGAGTCAGAGTAAAGTGGAAATAACACAAATGGATGCAGCACTTCTCAGATTGATGCTATTCCTTTTATTTTATGTCAGTCTATCATGTAAAATCCTAATAGGATATGCAGCAGTGGTGCTTGCACTGCTAGGAAAATGTAAATAATCCCTGAATGTACCATTGAGCTCCATAGGACGGGTTGTGGAATGACCAGCAGGGTAATTCTCCCTGGCTTTCCTCAATTGCCTCTTGTAGTACATATAACCCAGTCTGGTCCTTGTGTAGAGTGTATACCTGGAAAAATAAAGCTCAAAGCTAAACAAGATATTTTAAACTCTGACAAGCAGTTGACTCATTAGCATGCAGGCAAAGTTTTCGGCATTTAAATAAAAAAACGTAGGCTTGCTAGCAACAGCAGTCAAAACAATACACGTCGCTAAGCTACACAGACAGAAAACCTTAAGTTGTACTGACGCGATTCGGAACAGCGGCTTCTCTGTTCGAGCCATTATCCCGTTCAGGAGCCGCCTGCAAAACGCCAACGTGGTCCGCCGGTACCGAAAAGATAAACACAAGAAACAGAAGAAGGATGCAGCGACCAGCGGCGTTGCTATCCAATCAGGAAGCGCCATAGCCTGCGTTGTGCGTTGGGCGCAACGTGATGACGTCAACGTGATGGGACAGCGTCAGTTTAGTCGTCTGGTCAAAACAAGGCGGAGGAAATAAAAACAATACACGCCATTGTTCATAATTAGAAGCAGTAATTCTTGTTTTTACAGTTAAAATAATAATAATAAAAATGCATTTACATTTATATTCAATTATACTTGGATTTGCAATTTAAGAATAATTGTGTATTTCCTCTGTTTTTGAAGAGACATAAGAACTAGGGTTTTATTTGCTTTTGTTGCATTGAGTTACACATCAACATGACAAAAATAAAAATAACAAAACAAATTCACACCCATCATGTGAGTATGTTTAAACTTTTCCCCAGAACAGAACTATATTTTTGGGGAAAGAATAACAAGGAAAACACTCTGGGAAAAAGTTCAACTTTAATTTTGTTCCGTTTTTTTTATGTTTGTTTTTACATTTCATTGCATTCTGATCAACTAAACAATGAGGGTACCGGTGTGTGTTCCAGTTGGCATGCTTTCTCTGAAACAGCAGTGTGAGTTTCAGTGAGCGTATCCAGTTACACAGAGGACTTGTTCCAACAATGACAGTCATTGAGCAGAGAGGACGGAGGGGCATTCTGCTCCCATCACAGGCTGAGGCCAAAAAAAGGTAAGTTTCTATTTTTCACATATATTCAGACTAAACTATGACACAATGGGGAGTTTAATTAGACCCACGTTCTCAGGTTACCTGTTCTTTTTGTGATAATAATACCGGATTACTAGACTTTTAAAGTCATCAATGCAAACCTTAGTTTAAACAATGTGGTTATATTACTGGCTATATAATTCCTAAAAATTAAAACAGCTTGGCTGGAATTACTTTAAAACTCAGCAGCAAGAATCCTGAAAATGGTGAAGGTAATCAGAAAGTGAACCTTTGTGTTTTGGAATCAATATAAAGTTTTTCTATTAGTTTTCTAATGGTTTTCTTAATACCACCGATAGGAAATAAAGTTAATCAATTTCTTATTATTGCCCTCATCTTGGTTACAGCATCTAAATATTAATGTTTTAAAAGCAAACTAAAAACTTTTCTCTGATATTTGTTATATTAATTAATCTTGCTGTTATTTTGGATTTATCACAAATATTAAGGCTAAAATTTATCTTCAAATCACTGTAATTTTTTGAGTAATTTCTTCATAACAGTTAAGTTTCCATTATTTTGACTTGTCTAACAATATTTACTAAAGTAGACATTTTTAACTTGTTTTTCTTATGTCAGTCTATCTGTTTTAACATGTGCAATTCTGTAAATTTTCTTTTTAAGGTGGTGCAGAGAAATGTCTTCCAAAACCGATTGTCCTCCATCCTATGAGGACGCCCTGAAAGACCCTAAGATTAATATTTACCCCTTCCAGACACAAAATGGCGCCCTTCTTCCCCCTCCTCCGTCCTACAGCCCCAGTCCCGGCGTGTGTCCAGGCCCCGGCTTCCCTCCGTCTGTCCTTCCCATCCCCACTCTGTCAGCAGGACTGTCTGCGTCCAGCCCAGGTTCCCAGGAGCTTACACAGACTTTCATCACTCACTTCTATTGAATTCAGATTAACTTCTGAAGCTTAAATTGCCTTTTTTGCAATTCTCAATTCTGCAGGAGAAATGGATGACTTTTTCAGCAACCAGTGGGAGAGCACGTCCATTCGACACGCCTTCATCAGAAAAGTAAGGACTTTCTTTTCTTCTCTTTGCCAAAGTCAGGGAGTCAAACTGCTCCTCTGTTGTTCAGTGTGCCAGTAATCACTGTTGATCTGACCTCCATCTCCATCCCTGGACAGGTTTACTTGATTTTGACTGTGCAGCTTGCGTTCACCTTTGCAGTCGTTGGCATCTTTACATTTGTGTAAGTCTCCCGGTTCAGTCCAATAGAATACCACTTCTACTTGTTTAGTGCGGATGAATAAAAGAAAGCATTGCTGCTCTCTCTGTTGTCTGTGGTTTCACAGTGACCCAGTGAAGATGTTTGTCACCCAATACCCAGCAATCTACTGGGCTTCGTTGTGAGTTTACTTTCCATCTACAGTAACTAAACTTTTAACAAAAATGTCTAATTTTATTGTGAGAAAAAAAAAAGAAACTTTTATTACATTTGAGTCAGCCAAGCAGAGCCACATTCCTGATTTATTTCTCCATAGTGCTGTTTTCTTTTTGGTGTATTGCATTCTCATCTGCTGCAAAGAGCCAAGGTAAAGCAAGGATCATTTCCAAACAATCAGAAATTATTGTTTTTAAAGACGTCACATTATTTTTCTTCATTTTCTGTGCAGGAGGCGTTTTCCATTGAATCTGTTGCTGCTGGGAATATTTGTAAGTATTTATCCTGAATCTGGAGCCAAAACCTGGGTGAGGAGTTAGGGCTTGAGCCAAAGACTGGCAGCAAGTAAAGATGAAAGAATAAAACAAGCTCTTGATTAAGAAAAAACATCTTGTCGTGTTTTATCTTGCAGACTGTTGCCCTGTCTTGTATGGCTGGAACAGTTTCAAGGTTGGTTTTTGAACACCTGAATTCAGCGCACAAGTCTTTTCTTTACGTTCTGTCAGGTTATAAACACAAACTTCAACGTGTTTCATTAAAAAAGATCAACACCAAGTAGAAGAAGTAAAAATCTTGGAAGTCTGCATCTGTATTCAGTTTTTCTCAATCAACACTTTGGAGGAAACACTTTTTTTTTTTTGTCTGGGATTGTTTTTCTTTTAACCTGGTTTGTTCCAGGATTGTCTTGAATTCATCTCCCTCCATCAATTGTGATTAGCTCTTTCAGTCCAAAAAGCTTGTCCACATCATCATTCTGCCACTACCATGTTTCACAGTGATGTTGTTTGTTCACTGTGTTTTGCATGTATGTTGAAAAGTTTCAGTTTCATTTCTATTTGTAATAAAATTGGAAAGCAAATAATAATCTTCCATTTTCTGTCACATAAAATCCAAATAAGATGCCCTAAAATTTGTGGTTTAAACATGGCAAAATGTTATTCTATTTAAATCTGTATGTTTCTGTTTTTCCAGCTATTATGAAACCAAAGCAGTGATAATCGCCATGGGAATAACAGGAGTCGTGTGCATAGCCGTGACAGTCTTCTGCTTCCAGACGAAGGTATCTGAAAATGGTTTTTCTGCTGCAGCTCAGCAGCCTGTGGCTTGTCAGAGGATGTCTTTGTTGTCAGTGTAAAAGAACTCCATTGTCTCACATTACAATGGGGCACTGAGCTCCTTTAAATATTTAGAACATTGATGTGAATCCCATCTGATGCAACTCCAGATACATAAGTTGCATGTTTGGCCAGTACATGGCACATCCAGCCAACTTTTTTATTTTCTTTATTGCAACTTCACTCAGAAACGTAAAAAGAGAAGAAAAAATATATTTCCACTGCTCCTTTATATGTGGCTTGAAGCGTGTTCTGTCTCCCTTTCATCCTTTTAATGACTTGTTTCTAATCACAGGTGGACTTCACCTCCTGCGGGGGATTTCTCTGCATAGCTGCTGTTTTGCTCATGATCATTGGGATCGTTACGTCCATCGTGCTCTCCTTCCAATATGTGAGAACTCTTTGGTCAAGTCCTTTAATATATTCTCGCTTCTCTGCGTGAGCTTCAGCAGTAGCTCAACAGGGGTGTACACGTGTGACCAATTTTCTCACTTAGTCTTTTTTTATGTCACTCAACAGGTCCCCTGGCTGCACATGCTCTATGCTGCAATCGGAGCCATTGTTTACACTCTGGTGAGTAAATGCTGACATAATTACAAATCATTTCAGTTTTGTGTTTCTATATTGATCAGCAGCAAAAGGCAAATTGGTTTCAAGCTATATTGAGAAAAGCTAATTAGCAAGTTGTTTTTATATGAATTGCAGCACAGTGCAACTCTAATTTTATGCAACGTTTCTTTTCCAAATAACCAGAATTTAACAGTATAGTGTTTAGATTTATGACTTGTGAAATGTAAAAGTTTAATATACTGGGATTCTGTGGGATAAAACGGCACAAAGTAGCAAAAGCTAAAATGTTAGAAAAGAGGATAATTTGTTTTAAAATGTTCTCACTTTGTAGAACCACCATTTCCAGACGTCATTGGAAACGGTGTATAAAGTGCATCTTAAGTACATGTTCCCCTCTGACATTTTCTCCTTTTACTTTTCACCAAATCTCTATGACTGTAGTACATTCCTAGTGATAAACCCTGACACTTTGTCAGAGGTTTAGTTCCTCCAGCTGAGAGGCTTTTACTTCGGGACAAATTGTGACAAACTCACTGGACTGACTGACAGGTGGCGTCGGGTCAATTGCTGTTATACATCTTTCAGGTTATGTTCCTTCTGCTTTTGCCCATTCTTCTTTGTAAAATACCTGAAACTCAGTGAGACTGGAAGGACAGTGTCAGTGAAGAGTAAATTTTACATCCTATCAGAAACTTTGTTAAGTTTTGCTCTGGACTTTATCTGAGACATTCTAACACCATCTAAACTGTTTCATTGTAGTTTTGTTTGTTTAGGGTCTATTTCGCAGCTTCCAACAGGGTTACCTCTAGCGTTTTTCTGTATTTAGCACCATTAATCTTCTCTGTCCATTTTTGAAGAAAAGCAAAGTTATTGTGCTAAGAGTGAACCGGTTTTGCAGTCTACCTAACTGTTTGTTCTCTGAAATGTTCAAAGCTTACCCTGCTTTAAATTTCTCCACAACTTGATCTGCCTGTTTCTTGGTCTTCTTGTTCATTAAGGTTCCGTAAAACATGAGACCCACACTAAATTGTTTCAGATTCTTCACGTGAAACTTATTTTCTGCTCTTTTCTAAGTTTTTAGTCTACAACACTCAGCTTCTCATCGGGAATCGGGAGCTGGCCATCAGCCCAGAGGAGTACATCTACGGAGCGCTCTCTCTCTACGTTGATATCGTTCACATCTTCCTCTTCATCCTGCAAGTCAGCGGAGCGGCAACCGACTAAAGCAATCACCCAGCAACATTTTATCAGTAAATCCTGAATGTACGGAGTATTTTGGGGAGCAACGTCACATGTATGCATGCGCACCAATCAAAAGAATACTTTGTGTAAAACTTGCTCACCATTATGTAAACTTTACTGTAGTTTTATTTATGTTTGTAACACTGAAGCACTTTGATGCTCTCTTTGGAGCAGGAATGGAAATTGGAGACCTTAGCCAAGTATGAGTGAAGAAAGGCACTTATTTATGATGTAATATTTATGTATATAGAACAAACATCTGAATTATTAATCCTTTCAAACCTAATTATTATTTTGGTAATTTATGTCCTTTCAGCTCGCAGCAAGAAACAAAAACATATTTTTTTTCATTAGCCATTTTTATTTCTCATTAATTACTTATAAAACACATTTAGTTACAGGCAAACTGTTGAAAACCACAATCTTTATATGTAATGTTTGTGCTGGTAATACAAAGGACTCTGATTTGTGTTCCAGTTGTTTAATCCACATAATTAACCCTTAGAAAACCTTTGTTAATTAGAAGACTAATTAAACGTGTGCAGCCTCCTCTGGGAGTGTTCTGGCCCATTCCTTCCCACTTCAACGCGTCTGTTTTTAGTTGTTAGAAAACTGTGCACACAAATCAATAAAGTACCTTCTATTACAACTGCTTGATTCTTCTTAGTGATGAACTTCTATCAGCCTGTTAGAAACAGGGGGTGGAGTTATATCCCACTCATTCCCCCCTTTCTGGATTGTAGATTAGTTGTAATCTCCGTCACCTACAGCTTTGAGTCCGGTTGAGGTGAGATTCCTCTGTACTCAGGGTGTGAGACGTTTGGGGTCACGCGGGAACATGGAGGTCTGACGCACGTTGTGGAGACCCAGGTACAGCATGCAGACTCTCTCCAGACCTGTGAGGGAGGGTGGGTTGGTAACTCACCAGATTCAGATTTAGCTTCCAGTAAAAAAAGACTATAAAGCTTCTTACCAATCCCTCCACCACCATGTGGGGGAGCTCCATATCGGAATGAGTCGATGTACGACTTTATCTTCTCCAGATCTATAATAATCAGGAAAAAAAACAGAATTGTTACAAAGTAGCATACTAAACATTTAGCTTTTTTCTCCACAAATGCTCCCCATGCTTTTCACATTCTGCTATTGTAATACCTGCCATTTGACTGTAGAGGGAGATAAATCCTTTCAAACACATTCTGTGAATGCGCTTATGTCTAAACTTGGTTTCTTACCAATCTGGTGATGCAGGGCCCTTTCGGTCAGCAGCTGAGGGTCGTGGACTCTCTGAGCCCCAGACAGGATCTCCTCTCCTCTCATGAACATGTCATAAGAGTTGGAGTATTTCTGGTTGGAAGAAAACCCAGAAAAGAATCATATTATCTGTTAATTAATAGAATATTTACACTAAGTATGTAAGGTCTTATATATAAATAAATAAACAACTTTCTGAATATAAATCTGGGTAAAATGAATCTTTACACCTCGACCTGCTTCACAGTTTCACTACAGAAACAAAATTTAGTATTGTTTATGCAGATTTTATATGATGCATCAACTTATATTACATAATTGTGAAGTGAAATGAAAGTGGACTCCAACCAAAAACCCCCTGAAATTTTCTCTGTTTGAGTTCATCCACTCTGAGTCGATAACACGTAAAACAACCTTTGTCTATAGTTGGAGCATTTTGTCACTTCTTTCCACAGATTCCCACAGGTCTGGAGTTTGACTAGGCCATTCTAACAATTTTTGGCAGTCCGTTGAGGACTGCTGTAAACTATGTCAAAGTCTGAAGTGTTTTTCAGCTTCTAACAGGTTTCCTTCTGCATTTATTTCCGACTTTGATCAGTTTCTGTATTCATGGTGAAGAAAATCATCCCAGTGGTGAGACCAGGGAAACGTGTCTTTTTTTCTGCCACATGCAGCGTTGGGCGTGAAAGGAAAAACAAAGTTACATTTTGATCTCACATGTCCAGAGGACCTTTGCTCTGTTTCTTTCAACAATTACAATCCATTTACCATTCCAGTATAAAATGTCAGAATGGTGCCAAGTATGAGCAATGGATGTCCAGAATATCAAATTTCTCCAATTTTCTTTGTTTATAAAATCATTAACACTTCTTAATTTTTTGATATTTTGTTGGTCATGGAAAGAAATTAGTGGTTATAAAGAGATAATATATGAAAGGTTTAAGGGTTATTAATACTTTTGCAAGAAACATTTCAATAAAATAACTTTTTAAACGTAAGAAAATATCTTTTTTTTTATTTATGGAGCTGAATAGGTCGAAAAACGTCCTTCTAAAAATGTATGGAAGCAGATTTATTATTACATAATTTTGTTTTTTAGATGATAAGTGTTTTAGTGTTTTGTGTAGATGAGAAACTTACAGGGTTGTTTGGATCTGGCATTGTGTAAAAAGGTCTAACAGCCAGTGGGTATTTGTCCAGCACATAAAAGTCAGTGTCATACTGCGGAAAAACACAAATAAAAACAACAGATATGAACAACAGGTAGTTGCATTAAAGTGAAGCAAAAGGAACCAAATCTTGAATGAAGCAATTTTGTTTTTGGATTTAAATATGGCAGTGGCCGGCAGCTCCAGTCCTGCCTCCCTGCTCCAGAATTAAATGCCTTATTTAGCTGTATGGCATGTCAGCAAGTTTAGCAAATGTCTCATCATTAACTGTTCATTTGATTCAGATGTGTTGGAGCAGGGATGCACCCAAAAAGGTTGCAGGACAACGGCCTGTGAGGACCGGATTAAACTCTACAAACCTTTTCCTTGACAAGACGACCCAGCAGCTTCTCATTAGGAGTGCTGCAGAATAAAAAAAAAAGATCGTTAAACATTTTATTTACCATCAGCAAAAAACTTTCACACAGTTTTCAAATGCTTTCATTTCCTGCTCAAAAAGAAAAAGTTCTGGAAACGTGGTGTTATCACGAGAATTACATAAAGTTCCTTAAAGCATATCCTGACTTCTGCATTTTCAAATTAAAACTATCTGACGAAACATGGCGACCCGTGCAGAGGGTCTGTGACGTAACCTGACCTCAGGTCGTCTTCGTCTCCTATCTCCACTCCGGCCTCGCGCAGCATGGCCAAGGCCTCCGTGTATTCAAGCCGCAGAGTGGGCTCCAGGAATTTAAACGGCTCGCTGGGGAACTGCTTGTTCACCGTCTGAATCTCAGTCTGGAAGCTGATGCAGAAAAACCAGAGAACAGTTTTAATTTTATTATTCATTGATTTTCACATTTTTAACATAAAATATATAATGCAGGAATAATTATTTGCAGAAAATGAGAAATGGTCAAAATAATGAAAAAGATGCAGTGCTTTCAGAGCTCAAAAAAAGCAAAGAAAACAAGCTGATATTCATTTAAAAACAACAATACTAATGTTTTAACTCAGGAAGAGTTCAGAAATCAATATTTGGTGGAATAATCAGGAGGTTTTCAATGAGGTTCAGTGCAGTGAGCTCTTTATTTTTCTCAGTGCTCTGTTAGATTTATTAACAACAACCAACAGTTTATCATATTGACTCAAAGGAGCTGAATACAAATGAATAAGTATACAATGAGAAAATAATTTATGCTTTACTTTTATTTCAACTTTATACTCTGGTTTGTACTAGTTTTTCACATAAAGTTTGTGGTTGTAATGCCGCAACATGTAAAAAAAACTCCAAAGGTTCGCGAAGTTTTTACAAGGGAATGAAAATCCCTCACTATTTCCAGAGAAACAGAAAACATGAATCAGATCTTAACTGTTATATCTTCTAATAAATATTCTTTTTAAAATGATGTCTAAACAGCATGTGACGACAGATGTTTCCAGAAAACAACAGTCATGAGTTGCTCTGAGTCAAAATAAGCACACACGTCAAAGGAAATAGTCTGGGAAGTCATGAGAACCGAAGTAGCAAATTGGACTGAGAACAGAAAAGAGGAACAACTGTCATAAGGTAAAACAAACCAACAAAGGCAACTTGAACTGCATTAGTCGGCATTTACTCTGATAAAGCCGACTTTCCCTGGACAGATGCTTCAATCATTAATTTACGAAGTGGGACTTTATTGTTTATTGTGTTCTTCTTTTACTGGAATGCACCAACTGACAGAAATGCTGCAGGGCTTTTTGTGTGTGATATTTACTCTATGATTTGGCCATCTGCTTCCTGCTGCACTGATTTCCACCAGTAGGAGGCAGTAGAGTCACATCGTATCAAATTCCATGGTGCAACTGGCTTAATGTTATTTTGGATCTGCATCTCTTCCAAGTCGTCTTTTGTATCATTTGCATACATAGATGAGAAATTATTAAACTCATTTTGAAAAGAGGCCAAGAGAGTTTTATTTATTTACTTATGATCCAAAGAAACATGAAGTCATGGATTGTTAAAAGTTTTCCAAAAGTCTGAAGTTTCTTACTGGAAACTGTAAGATCCCAATAAAAATTTTTACAGGAACAGTCAGGGGTGCCGGTACATATGACCCCGGTCATGATGCCCTTTATTGTTGCAAAGTGCACCAGTCCCTCCTGCAGCTAAACTTCCAGACAGCATGATGTTGCCACTGTCGTACTTCACAGATGAGAAGATGGTGAAACCAAACCAAAACCTTCCAGAATGGTATGATGGCTGGACATTTCCATGGTGTTTATACTTGGAAATAATTGTTGTAACTAATGGCTGTGGCCCCTCAGGTCTCTGGGACTGTTGATTTTAATTTCCCATTAAGTCACAGATGGCAGAATGTTGAATAAATCTGCAGGTGTGTCTTCATTTAACCCAAATGTTATGAATTATTCAGTTTACAAAGCTTTAGTATCGTCTCTTGGCCTTTTTTCAAATTGCTTAAAGAGTTCTTCATGTATATAAACATTTGAATTTGAACAAAGTAAAAAATCTCACTTGTTTTTATGGTATTTAGTAAATAGGAATGATTTTCACTGACCTAAACCAAGAAATGTTTAGCCTGATGCAATAAAATGGTTTTCTTCACATTTATTAAGTATATGTGAATGTACGTTTTCTTCTGTGTTTTCTTAATGTGTAAAAATATATTTTTCTTAGTTTATTCTGATTTATAAAGATACAAGAGAGTCGATACTCCCTTTGTGAAAACAAATAATCAACTATTTAAGTAAACATATGTAAAATTTATTAACCCAGTTTTCTGTTGTGTTCAGGTTTCTGGAATCCAACTCAGCTTGGGATATTTATGCTCATACAAAAACATTGTGAATAAAAAGTAGCATTATGTGTACTCTTCGGACACAACCTATAGCTTGAATAGGATTTTTATCACTTCTCAGCAGATTTATGACCCTCTAAAGCATGTCTAACTGTGACTTGGTAAATATCCTGTCTGGCTTCTTACTTGTCTCTGAGGCCCTTGAATATCTGCACCATGGTGTCAGTGATGGAGTCAATCACTTCGTGGTAGTGGTAGCTGAAGGCCATCTCAATATCCAGACCCACAAACTCAGTCAGGTGACGGTGAGTGTTGGAGTCCTCTGCCCTGAAAACTGAACGTCGGACATTTAACATCAGGGTCAAAAGAAGTCATACGTTAAAAATGACAAAACTAGCATGCAACCTGACTGGATCTAAAGGAAGAAGAGGGTAAAATAAATGTGGATTAACAGTTATGTTAATTTTTTCTTTTTTCCCCACTCTTCCATGAAGGCCAGAATAGTGGAGAGCTTAGCTAATTGTTATGTTGAAAGATTGTTTTTCAAATCAACTTGAGCTCCTCTGAAGTTCCTCCTTGCTACTTCTCTGATTAATAGTCTGCATAATCATCATGGTCCGTTTATGATGCCGTTTGTTCACTAATGTTCCCAAACAACTTAGAAGTTATATAACTGAAAGTGAAAACGTTTAAAGGGAATTAGACTTTTACAAGGTACTGTATAGTGAGAGTGGAGATAAATCTTCAACAGTCTCATTTCCTCCCCTGAACAAATAACCAGCCACCGACTGGAGTTGGACCTTTTTATTCTCTTGCTTCTTTTCTAAAGCGCATCATAGATCTAGGGGCTAAAGCTGAACAAAGCTGAGCTTCTGACCATTTAGATATTTGAGCACATTTGACCTCACTTCTTCATACTGAGCCTGCATGACTGTAACTAAGGCAACAGCAGTGAGCACAATGATCTTGAGCCCTTTGATTCGTCAGGTGCAGCCACAGAGGAACTGGGAAAAAACACAATCCACCGAGCGGTGTTCTCTTCCTAAATATACATCAAACAAAGTGTTTTAAATAAGAACGTCATTCTATTAAACCAGCTATGCATTCAAGTGTTTGCTCACCTCATCAGATGGTGGCAGTATTTCCTCAACTACAAAGCATGAGGTTCTCCCAAGTCTGTGTAAAAAGTATTTTACAAGTCCCTTTACGTCACTAACGGACCAACTATAAGCTCTGTCCACAGTTACAGGACCAGTGGGATGTCTGTTAAACTTTAACACATTTGGAGCCATTTTAAACGTGTCATTTCAGTTAATAGGGTCTACGGTTTTCATTACACTCCTGATGCTCATTTTTTTATTATGCCTGTGAGGACTTTGCCAGCTTATAAGGTGTCAGACGAGAGGCGTCTCTTTTACCAGGGCCGACGCAGAAGACCTTGTCAAAGTCAGCACAGATGCACATCTGCTTGTAGAGCTGAGGGGACTGGGCCAGGTAGGCGCTGGACTTGAAGTAAGACACCGTGAAGACGTTCGCTCCACCTTCGCTGGCAGCTAGGAAAGGGCAAAGACAATTTTCAGGAGTGATGGGGGGATTTTTTTTTCCCAGCTCAACCTGCAAAAAAAGATTACTATGACCTGCGAAGGCTGAGAGTGCTTTTCAAAACTTCACCCAATCTTACCTGAGGTATGGCGCTCTACAAAACTCTTGGAACATTTTCTTTATATTTTACCTAAAAGGAGCAAAAAAGTGCCCTGTAATGTTTAAAGTTTTTCTTGGAAACTATTTTTCAAGTAGTCTGAAGGCAATTCAAAGTTCCTGGACTTATTTTTTACCCTGTCTGACAAATTTCAGACCTTTTTGTGTTTTTTGAGCTTCTTACTCACACTGAAAAATTAACAAGGTGAATGTTGTGCCAAAAAATATCTCAAAAATTCAAATTGAGACTGACAAATGAGCCCAAAATCAGCCAAGGTTCCAGCAGAACCCAAAAAGGACGATGAGCATAGCAACGGTTTCTATTTATCTGTCTGCTGCTGGAATAATTGCAAGACAGGGAGTGATTAGTTCCAACTAGAAAGGTCTCAAAGCAATTAACTAATACTTTACAAACTGGACTGGAAAATATATGCTCTTCCAAATCAGAGGTGGATGAATGAGGATTGCTTGAGATGTCTCTACAACCAGACCTGTAGAGAACTTTATCTACACATAATGGAAGGGTAGCACCAGTGTGCAGAACACTAATAAAGCCTCAAGATTAATTATATAAAAAAAAATAATATTAGTATCATTATATTATGAAATGTTTCACCTGTCCAACCTATCAAAAATAATTCCCAAAACACATCAGATCCGTTTTAGCATCTGATGCAACAGAAATGCGGCTCTGATGATGTAAGCAGCAATTAGATGATGTTAAAAATCAATGGAGTCTCGTGATTTCCTGTGAATGTGGCTGAACAACACAGATTCAGAGGTACGTAGCAATTTGATGGAAATGTGACGGGTGAACAATGTATAAGTGAATAATAATAAGTGAGCTACATTACAAAGTAAAATGCATCCACTTTTGTGGGGGAGGGGAGTATGAATTTAAATCTTTTGCTTACTCATGGTAGGAAATCAGAAGTACGGAAAAAAAATGTAATGTTTATGCTGGTAGGATATAGACTTTAGCTTTAATAACATACAGCTACATCATTTTTAAAGTTTAATCAGTAATACTTTTATAACAAATTTATGCCAGATCATGATTTCTTGGTTAATGTCAAGTTGTCACAACAAAGACAGTTTGAATAATGTCAACTTTGTATTCAAAGTGTCATGATTTACCGAATGACACTTTATGACAACAGTCATAAATATTCATGAAGACTTACTCATTTTTATGACTGCTGTTATGTCGTGTTTCTGACGGTGTCATGACTGTCTTGTTCACAACATGTTAAATAAAGCTGTCTACCAATGTCTCTCTCTAACGGTGAACTCAAGGTTTTCGTGCATAATTTTGATTCTTAATATCAAACTGGGGGAAGGTTTGGAAGAAGAACAATACTTGAATAAACTCCAGGAATCCCCCTTTTGGTCGATCAGATCACCTTCAACTGCAGTGTTTCCTCCCATTGGAAATCAAGTTTGGACCTCAGCAGGTCCGACCTCCGACCTTTCTAAGGCTGTCAGCTGACGAATACCTCGACACTCAGGTTGGCCCTTGGCCTCTCTCCTGGCTCTGCCCTCAGAAAGTCAAAGTCGTTTCCCTCGCTTGGACTTCTGAATCGAAATGTAAATTCACAATCAAATCTGAAATGTTTTTAGATAAACCAACTTCTGGACTACACCAGGTGAATGAAGACACCTGCAGAAACCTGAATGAAGACGGCAAACAAAAGCAAAAATTTTAATCACATGGATCAGAATTGAGATATTCAACTGGTTGTGACTGCTATCCCCACACCTCCCATTATGGTATGTGGAGGTGTGTGTGTGTGAGAATGTGTGTGTGTGTGTGTGTGGCTAAAAATACTATGGAATTCACTGAAACCTTGTTGTTTACATTTTAGAGATGGTTGAACTAAAATTGAACTATATCTATCACGGGAAAAGACAAGGTTGCATCCAGAAAAGAAGCTTTAAAGTTGTTACTGATTCACAATCAAATCAATTAATTATTTATGGTTTTAAAGTAGCAAGAAAATAGTTGAAAGATTATTTTATGTGTACTGGGATGCATCTTAAAGCTTAGCCATTTTCAGTCTCAGATTATCTTAGCTCACTGTCGTGATAAAGGGGTTGATAAGCCTAAAAAAACTGACTGCTGACCTTTTCCAACACTTCAAGCAGCTCTGTAGGAAATTATTCTTAACAGAGTTTGCTTCTGTCCACAACACAGATGTTTGATAAGCAAGAAACTGACCTCAGGAGAAAAACAAAAACCGACTGATTGGGAGTGGGAACAAATGAACAAGATAAAATAAAAATAATCAGTCTGACGTATCGGCCACCTGCTGCTCCAATTCATAAACAACAAATGGGTCATAGGAAATGAGACTTAAAATTTTTATACCACTTTCCTGTTTTTGTCTCTGGATAAACGGTCACCCTTCTACTATTTTCAATTTAATATTCAAACATAAAATGACGCTTTTGTAGATCTACTCATGTCATTCTTAATGTTTCAAGGAGAGCCAATTTGCCAATTTAAATATATTTTCCACATTTGAGCTGTAACTCAACTTTAAGGACCAATGGTGGGACTGCCTTTAGTTCACCTTAGAATTAACTTTGAATAAGATTTTCTGAAAGTAAATAATAAATTAAAGATTATTTCTTTAAGCACTTTGATCTTTGCTCAAATAGAAACTGGTATGATGAGGGTGGAGTCATTTTTAGGTGTGATTTGAAAGTGAACCACAAATTGGTTAATTGTACTCAGACTCAACTGTCTGATAACACTTTGAACATCAGTTGACATGCAGCTAATTTTTTACCTCGGAGGTTTATAAAAATCAACAATAGTGTTTGGATTCTGACTCAAATGGTTTGTTTTCTGGTAGGAATGAAGCTGCTGACAGACTTGACCAGGATTCTCCTGCAAGAGATTTGAATCTCAATGGGATTTTCAAAATAACAAGGCCTTATAATAATGATAATAATAATAATACTAAAAAGAAAGTTTGTGATATCCTTTGTATTACACACAGCCTATGTAATATCTGCACCGCCAAATCTATTGAATGTGAATGCATACATTTGAAAAGTTGAGTGTTAGAAATAACTGAACAGAAATATTGATCATTTGCTGCTCTTATGTTTAAATATTGCAAAAAAACTCACATTTTCCAACATGGGTTTGGTTGAATTCAACTAAAACACGTGATACCTCATGTGTTTTAGTGAAGTATCACTAAAACTTCACTAAATAACGATATACCCAAAGTCTTGTTAGATGAAGACTTTGTGTTTAACAGGCATTGTTTTTGATAAGGCAAAGATAAAAAAAATGAAAAAAACTCAGCTAAAATAAAGAGCTTAACAAAGTACCCTTCAAGGTCACTTTGCACAACAGCAAACTCTCTGAACCTAATGTTCAATTACTTTATGTAAGTTGTCATAATGCGGTACAAACTTATTTTTAACCTTCACCAAGACTGCGATGTGTTTTTATTCAAAAACAACACGTTTCAGGATTACATAACGACCAGCCATGCAAAGCACATCTGCAGCTTTCTGTTCGACACAAACGTCATCAAGGAAGACGCTATCTGATGTTCTCGTGCCATAGTGAAAATATATAACAGGGCGTGGGTAGGGGGGTTCTCACACGGCACAAACTGTACGCTGCGTGTGTGATGGGTGTAGCCAAGGCAGGAAGATGCGGTTTTGCAAAAAGCACATCATGTTGCCTGGCAGGTGCCGCCAAAAAGAAAAAACGCGGCAGTTTTAAAATGAGGCGAAGACGCAACGATTGGCTCCCACGCAGTAAAAGAGGAAGTGAGAGCGAAGCTGTTCATTTCAAATGTGAGAATCACGTGGGAGTCCAGGGATAGCACAAAGACACTGCCCTTTTATATTACATGTTTTGGAGTTTTTTATGTAACATGCTTTTGCCGCCTCTGTCTCAGGTTTTAGCTCAAGTTGAATATTTCTACTAGAATAGAGGAAAAATACCAACAGGAGAAGAAACACAATTGAAAGAGCTCAAAAACATTTGAACTCTGTTTTGCAGGGTGAAGAATCTTTTTTGTTTTGTTTTATATTCTCTCCAGCTGGCAACTTCTTCGTCTAATTAAAACCTTGGAGTGTGAAAAGACGTGAAAATTGAGAGGTGAAGGTTTGATGCTACAAAAACAATCTTCTGAATAGACTTTGACAAAAGCCACGTCTCCCAATCCTGGTCCTCGAGGCACCCTGCCCTGCATGTTTCAGATGTTTCCCTACTTTAACACATCTGACTCAGATAATTGCAGTTCAATAAAAGTCTGCTAATCGGCCAGCAATTGAAAACGGGTATGTGTGAAGCAAGAGAATTATAACTTGAGGAAACATGGGAGAATTGTCATGTTCCAATGGCAGATTGTTTCATTATACTTTTGTACTTTTTCATCAATATTAAGAAATTTTTCACTTAAATCAAGTTCCTTTATGCTGAAAATCTGCTTTTAAGTTGGTTTTGCTTTATTTCAAGTGTACTGAGACATTTGCACAAGAAACTAGACCAAAAACACTAAGAATGTGTGTTTCTGCTGTGTGAATGAATAACAAGCATTGGTTGGTTTGGTCTGCAGTTTCTTTTATGCTTTTGGCTTTTTTTCCCCAACTCTTGCTACAGTTGAAAGCAAAGCAGGGGAGATCACTGTTAAAAATTAATCCTCAAAACAAAATTGTGTAACAGATGAAAGAGCACACTGAAACATAAGAGTATACTCCCTAAAGTAAAGGCCCCATTTGTGGAATGAACAAACAGCTTCTCCTCCTCCAGAGCTGCCATGGGCCACTTGGGCTGCATGTCTTACTCTTTCCATTTTCAGATGATGGATTGAACAGTGTTCAGTGGATTAAACTTCCTTACAACTTGATCCCTGAACTGTGCTATGTTTTCCTTGGTTTTCACAGTTGTGAGACTTTCTTGCTGCAGCAGTTTTAATATGTTTGCTTTAAGCAGTTGAACAAGTCTATTATTTTTTTAAAGTTTGTTTTTGCTCTCTATGGTAGGAAAAGCTGGTAGAGGGGGTAACAATTCAAGGAAAATACCTCTGAACTCTGAAAGAATAATTGTTGTGTTCTGAACCAAAGTACAACTACAGTAAAACTTCCCTTTTCCAAATAGAAATTGGTGTTCAATTAAAATGAAGCAGAGAGGCTAATGTTTTAAGTTTAAGATCCTGAGTGGCCTAACATTTTTTCATATTCCAAACTGTGTCATGTTTGCATGACTGTTTTGGTTTTATGACTAAAGTTGGGAGATTCATCTGAACTTAATGTTTGGTTTATGATTTTAAAATGCATACTAGTAGAGGAAGCGTGATTTACAACCGTCACTTCATGACTCACAGGGCACCTGTGGGCGGTAGGATGGAAACAAGGGTGCCTCCACTGAGATGGCTTAAAAAAACAAAAAGAAAAAAAGATCAGTTTCCCCAACTGGGCCAAGATAAGAAAACAGTTTTACCAGATATTATTTTGGGGGTCTGGATCTCCACAAAGCCCTTTTTGGTGAGGGTGTCTCTGAAGAGCTGGCAGACTCCTGACTGCAGGCGGAAGATGGCCTGGCTGGTGGTGGTCTTTGGGAGGAAACACAGATACACATACACACGCATAAAACATTGAACCACAAGCAGAGCAGCGTTACCACACACAGAGTGATTCATTGGACTCATTACCCAATCGGAACAGATGTGCAAAAACAAGATTGCCAGTTTTTTTTGTTGTTTTTTTTTTTATCTTGCACCTCCCGTCTGCACGAAGGTTGAAACATTTATTTTCTGCCAAGGGCGAGACCTGCATCAGAGCCCGGTGGGAGCTCCGGGAATGCAAAGCCTATCATTATCAATGTAAATGCTGACAGCGAAGATTACTGTTAAAAATTAACCCCCAAAACCAAAATGTGTGACAGTTGAATAAAATAAGCAGACAGAAACGTAAAAGTACACTCCCTAGAAATCCTTTGACTCATCTCAGATTACCACAAACCTCTACAGTTTACTGGCCTGCGACTACAACTATTACATGTCAAAAGGAGAGAAACTGTTGCTATCAAGTCTCATCTGTACTGATGGCCTAAATTTGAATAGACATCATGACTACTTCTTGACAAAAAAGGGAAAAGTGATAGCATGCGAGTACCGGCCAACTTCTAACTCGACAGACAATGCTTCAGGGATGTCTGACTGAAATCTGAACCACCAGCGAGAACAATTGGTAAAAAGAAGAAGTGAGAAAGATATAAAACTTTCCTGAGCATTTTTATCAACACCTTTGCAAAGCTGCAAAGCAGAATGGCTCTGACTCATTTTTGCTGTGCGTCATACGTTTGGGCCGAACCTTTCTTTTAATCTGGGGAAAACAATCAGAAAAAAGCCAGTTTGAGTGAGGCCACGTTTATACCTTCGAAAGCGCTTCCTGTTTACAGCAAGTCTGCAGCGAGAAGGTGCAATGGGGGATATGGAGGCAGTAGTTGGTCTCCTCAACCAGCAGCTCTTCTGAAGCTGCGGTTACTTATAAGAAGCACCTGAACATCACTTACAACTCAGAGGCAAACTCTACGGTTCAGAAACCCAGCTGCGGTGATGAGATACCACAGACGGGTTTCAAGGTCCAAAATTTAAATTTATGGTTACGTGCGGTTTCAGACGCACGTCGCAAGACGAGCAAAGAATTCATCTTTTTTTTTTTTTTCCCTTACCATGGTAAACAATGACAGACTCCAAAATGGTTAAAATAATGTTAATACTGGAATTTGATAGTAATAAAAATGTCTGAAGTTAATCTAACAACTCAGTTATTCTTTTAAAGTATTTGGCAAATGTGAAATACCTTAGAGAAATGATAAAACCACCTCTAGAGAACTGCATAACATCTGACTATGCAATGACATGCATTGCATTAGTTAAACTTCTGCATTTTATATTGTGACATATTAACAGATAAAATGTAGCATTGCAAAGTATACAAGAAGTTTATTTTCTTTGTATAAAATCTCAATATCTTAAAGAAATGCAAAGTTATTAGTGAATTATACAACTATCACATTCATGCTCATTTTGCCAGGGTCACATTTGGTGACACTTGTTTAAAACAGCAGAAAAAAATGTTTTTCAATAAATTATACTATTGGGAGAAAATCTATATATTTAATATTATTTATTTTTTCCAACATTTTGGGTAGATTGCTCACCATATAAGGTCAATTTTTGCACTGTAACATTAACACATTCGCCAACGTCTACACAAATTGTATGTTTTCTTGAAGACACATGTTGAAAGTTTTCATGTCTTTGCAACCATTATATTTAAGCAATTTGTAGTTTATTTTCAAAACTTGCATGTTGTGATGAGGTGAGAGACAGTTTTGCTCTGTTATGTTCATAAGTGGAAGAATAACTACAAAAAAAACATCCTTTTACCCATCATTTGATCAATTCAGTTTCATTTACAGAATCATTTTATAGCTTTAAATTGCTTATATTTTTTCAGTTTGATACACTACTCTTTCAACAAACAAATCCTGTATGTGAAGCTGTGCATGAACCTGTTAAAATGATCTCCATTTGTTGCAGTTAAAGCATAAAATAGAGGAACTAGAAGCAAAAATATACTTTAAAAATGTTAAATCTGTAATGCTGTTTAAAATTAACAATCGCACATCTAAAAAATAATGATGCAACGGTCAAACAGCAAGGAGCGTACATATATCACTCAAAATGTTTTGAACTGCACTGTTTCAAAGAAAAAATGAGCAATGAATGAAATAACTCTGGACAGATTGCAAGTCCAAGCTTTATTGCACAAACTAAATGAACACAACTGAACTTTCTCTGCTTTTCATTGTACAAAGCACCTGATGTTCAAGCATCACATGAGAGAAGTTTCATGGAAACTCAACTATTCTTAGAGGAGCTTTATGGGTCCCTCATCGAGTGTTTGTCTACCAGAGTGGGAACCGCTTTACAGCCTCGCCAGGCCCTAAAGTGAACAAGTGATGACAGACCCTCGTCTGTGAGCTTCAAGTGTTACAGAAACAGGTGTTGTTGTGAGGCTTTAGAGCGCCGTGTCTCTGCTGTGGTGTTGCTGCCTTCCTGCCAGCCGTATCACCGATACATATCAAAACAAGGCGAGACTCGGCGGCTATGTGCCTTCTGCTGCTCGTATAGATTTAGCATGCTGCCGCATTGTGTGGGAGATGTGCTAAATCACAGATGAATGTTTGCTCTTCTAAGGTGCAGTGGTTTGCTCAGTCGTTTTGAAGTTATTAGGTAGTTTGCTTTCTGTTTGATCTAAAGTACCGCGCTTCAATGCTGTGGCAGTTTCAGCTTAACCTGAAAAGTCTGAATGAAGCCGCTTCTAAATTTAGACGATGGAATGTAAAAGATAAGTTTTGAATGGTGTTGCTTGAATTTTTTACTGAAAAAACACGCATGTTTGTAGGAATGTGAACTGAGATTTTCTTTTCCTCCACCAAGTGTCACTTTTAGGATAATATCCACCAATTGATAGTTTTAACACATTTCTGATGTCTCTTACCCTGAGATCAATCACCCTGTTGTCCAGCCTGGTATCCTGGTTAACAGTGGCTCTTCCTTCCTGAGGGGAAAAAAAACATTGTAACATCACAACCAAACATTCGACTTATGAAATATTCAACAGAGCTGATCTGTTCTGCTCCTGTTCTTCACACAGGGGTGCTTGTATTCAGTGATGTGTAAATATTTTATAGGCTTTTTAAAGCTCACAAGGGATGAAACATAAGGAGTGTTGCATATCTGGATATGTTAAGATATAACATATAGGGGCCATTCTCAGTAACTTAGAAAAGTAACTTCATTCCACTAATTCAGCTAAACTCATCATACAGAGCATGATGTGTTTCAAATGTCCATCTAATCATGGCTTAGTTAATAAAGCTCAAAATTGACTTTTTTTCATAAAACATAATATTATATATCATGCAATAAAAATAAAACAGAAAGTTATCACTAAAATGGAAAAAACTAACTTGAAAGTTATCCAGTAATAAGGTCATAACATCCTCCACAAGGACAATACTGTGCCAGAAGCGTTTGCTAAAGAAGCTTGCTGGTCACTGGCTTATTAATGTAACGTTTAGTGGAAGGAAAAAGTGAATATAAAAAAATGTAAGCAGGTTTTTATGAGTTTTATGCCATAAGTATCCAAAGAAGAATAATTTAATTTTGATTGTATTCTAATTTGTCGAGAAACATTAAATTAGCAACAACAGAGATGTGCTAAGTAGTTTTAATTCATACATTTGAGTGAAAAAAGTAAATGAAAATCTGTCTAATTTTGGGTATATATGTGCATGCAAACATTCTTCTCTATCCATTTCAATGCTACTAAAAATTTCAAGTGACCCGTTAAAAGAAAATACCTCTTGTAAGTTTCTTTAAAAATGAAGTAAAGGACATTCAAAATCAAGTGAGAGATAAGTTAGGGCAATCCAAAAATGTATTTCTAATTTATATTTTAGCCATTTAAATTTTCCCACTAAGGTGACAACTTGGTATGCTAAAGATGATTTGTGTCGTTTAAACGTCAGACTGAGAACTGTCCAAAAAATAAAAAATTGCAGAAGCTATTAAGGGTTCATAAAGATTTAATAAGGCCTAAAAAATTTTAATCCTTTGCATTGTACAAAAATCATGAAACCAATCTGAATATAAAGTAAGGATTAAAGCAAATTTCTCACTTAAGTTACTTTAGCTCAAGGAGCTAACACTAGCTTCTAGGTGATAGGGTGACCAACTTTTTTCCCGGAGACAGAAAACAAATTTCTGTTAATATCTTCTGTTTAAATAAGAAAACACTAATGTGCTAATAAATTATTTTCCCTGAGATAAATAAAATGTGACATCAATATATGAACAACTAAATAAACTGAGCACTGACATGTCCTAATATTTTCACACGACTGTGAGAATATGCGCACCAAGCACTAAATGGGAAACAAGATCAGATGCAGATTCAACAACAAAAATAGTCAGCTGCACCAAAACATCTGCTGTTCAAGACAATAGGGAACCGATTCAGAAAAGGGAGGAATATAAAGAGAAACAAATAAAAAAGTAAATGTTTCATCACAGGAGGAACTAATGCTTCCAGGGTCATGTCGTGCTTCCTCAGAATATCCTCTGGGGCGTGAGTTAACAGCCTATGTTGCTACATCCTGCCCCAGACAGCCTCATACAGTGGGGAAAAAGCGTTGGATAGGCAGACAGTCAGAGCCGATCTGCCCTCTGTCTCTGGGGACGACAGGTGCTGCTACAAGTGTGTGACTGACATGTTGAATCCCAACAGAAAACACCTGAGATCCTGCTGCAGATGTGAAATGTAGCTGGTGGACACAAACAGGTGTGTTCACTGCAACAAGGCACAACCCGTGTACATACAAGGACAAATTATTTGACATCCCTGTTTGAAATGTGCTAAAAAGTCTTTAATAGTTCACCCTTCACTCCAGTTTTGTGCTACAAAATACTGTAAATGGTTTCATCAAAGACATCAAAAATTCTATTTGTGATACCTGCAACCATCCCTTTGCAAAAAATAACTTCACCCTTGTTTTTATTTTATTTTTCTTTAAGTTGGCCAGAGTTCAAAAATGAAGAACTTCTAATTATGAAGTGATGTTTATCTGTTATTCTCAGGTAGAAATATGCTGTGACAGATGCTTGTTTCTCTATAAAATGTCAAACAACTTCCTCTGAGATGTGCTCGTCTAAATAAGTCTAGAAAGAACGACGGACAGAGAAACAAATAAAGTTTAAAACAACTGCAACAGGGATCCAAAACGGCTGTCAAAGCTTCTACGACAATCAGACGCTTTTTCTCCACCATCTGTCCTAAAACAACTGTTTCTGAAGCTGCAGTTAGCCTAGTTTAAGTAGAGTTTAAGTGGAAGTAGTGTTCTTGTTGGATAAAAATTAAATGAGCTAGAAGCCCAAAAAAACCAAAAAACAAAACTCAAGGTAACACAAAGAATGCACATTGTTAGATACAGTGGAATATATGCTTCTCTTCCAAAGGACATGGGATTATTTTGAGATGTGCATGGTGATATAAACTTCAAGTCAACACCAAAACATTCTTAAATAAACATTCTTCTCTAATTAAAGCCTACGGAAAACTTGTGTGATGGTCTGAAAACAGAGATCATTAAACATGCTTTAACCATGTGAAATCATATCACTAGAGATAAGATGCAGCCTTTTTTAAATCATGTCATTACAGCTAATATTGAGCCAAAAGTTAAGATGGTGATTTAGTTCTGCACAACAGCAATATTTGCTAACTTTCTAACACAAGTTGATTTTTTCCCCCACATTTGTCACAATGGAATAACATCATTCCTCAAAGTTTTCTCAAATAAAAATATGAAAGGTTTGTATTCCAACCCCTCCTATATAAAACCACTTTTTGCAGTTCTTTTGACATACACCTCTACCAGTTTAGAGTCTAAGGTTACAGATTTTTTTTGTCCATTCAAGTCACCTCACCTCCTCCCCATCTCCATCCGGCCTGACTGCGTCCTCCAGCTGCAGGGGGAGACGAGGCTCTGCCTGGCTGATGACAAAAATCTGAGAGAAAAAAAAACAAGCAAAAGAAAACAAAGCTTCGCATAATAAAATGTCTGAAACAAAGCTGCAATGTTTACATAAGGGCTTAAGAAAATGGAAAGTACCTGACCTCCAGACGTCTACGTCAAAGTGAAAGCGGATAAGAAGCGACACCCCCTCTGTTTATGTGAAAAGCTGACTCCAGCTGACAAACGTGTGCGTTTATTGTGATCGGTTTGGTTATTATTTCAAGTGTAGAGTCTGAACACCTGGTCTCGTATCTTTGAAATTTTATTTCTCCACATCTGCTAGCACGAGGTTTACCTGGTCAATGATCCCAATTTGCTTGAACATTGAGTTTTAACAAAGAGGTAAACTTTTACCTACTCTAAGAGCAGCTGTGTTCTTCCTGTGAGGGGAGCTGTGTACCTGCCTAAACAAAATTATAAAGGCCTAAAAGTCTGGATGCTTTTATGCTGCCAGGCAGGAAAGATATACAACTTTGTGTGTTTATTTGGATGTGAAAGGGAACAAAGGTGCATGAGAAGGCCTTGCAGGTGAGCTAACCCTCTCGATGTGGAGCTCCACGTCCTGCTGTGAACAGCTCTCGATCTTCTGCTCCACTTTCCTCACCATGGCCTCCACATCCACAATGCTCTCCTTTGTGATGCTGCGGAGTGAAAGCAACAAGCTGCACTTAGAAAACAAACTTCTACGCCTGCATCGAAGCTACATTTCTGTTAAACTCTGACATCAACCTGCAGACATGAAGGAAAGCAAGTGAGTGGGACCTGGGTGAGTGATTTCTGACTTGATTGTGCCATTTTTTCTTCTTTTTTTTTCAATCATGCTGGAACTACAACTGTTGAAGTGACATTTGCAGAAAAGTGAAGAGGTATTTCGTCCACTTGTGGCTTTCATATCAAAACCACCTTCCCCTATTTCTCCCACTGCTTTAATCAGCAGGCTGCAATGACATGTACAATTTCCCTACAAGCTCATTAAGAACAAAACACAAATGGCTCAAGTAGTTTGAGGGAAAATATTTATTCAAATTTAGACAATTTGTAATGAATGACAATAAATTGAGAGATTTTTTAAAATATATTTTGGGTCATTTCTGATAATTTCAGGGGTCGCATTAACAGGATATTTTCTGTATTTGAACAGAAAATCAGAAGGCCTGTAGCAGAGAAAGATACACAGTGGTTAACTGCAGCCTTGAGATTATTGTAAACCAAAGTCCATTTGATAGATTTACATTGTGTGGACTGTCTTGAAGCACCACTGAGTACTTCAAGAATCACTACATGCAGACACAATTGTGTTAAGTCAACCCTGAATTAGTGACATCTGATCTCAGCATCTTACCTGGGCTAAGAAGAGAAAGCAATGGATCATGGCTGAAATTTTCTGTTGCATTTGAAAATCAAGATCCCAAACTCTAAAATAAGACAGGATGGGCAAGAATTTTAAGTTGCTTAAGATTCGGTGTGATGTTTCTACAGATAGCAAAGATTTGGGGAGCCTTGTAATCAGCTGGTGTTGGTCCACTTTAGACATGGAGATGCCTTTAAACTAGTCTGACCAAAACTTCACAGGGTTTCTCTCAGGAAGGTTAGAGAAAGCTGAACCAAAAATGCAGCTAAAAGCAACTTGGGCTTTCCGTTTTGCCGTACTTTTATGGCATTCAATACAAAAGGAGTCCTAAGAAATATTCAGTGCATCTACTGTACAGTATATGGACTTGCTTATAAGTAAGGGTATAATTCTGGATTATAATCCTGTCTAACTGGTATTCAGTACTATAATTTTATGAGAAATAAATTTGGTATTTTGTTTAACTGAGAAGCATAATAAAAAAATTAGTCAAACGAAATGTTTAAAATATTCAATCTGTGTAATGAACCTATAATGTAAGAAGTTTCTAGACAGAATCATGGAGATACATTAATCTTATGATGACATTCTGATTTATGGACAAGCACCTCCATCTACTCAATACTGATCAACTCCAAATAACAAATCTACCCTATGGAAGATTAACAGACAGATTATGCAATCAAATGATTTAAAAAGCAGAAGTAGAAATCAAACAAAAGGTATGGAAAGTTTGTCAAATTCTCAGAAGCTGAAAGGAAGAGACCGTCACTCAATTGTAACACCGAACGAAAGGAAAAGGATGTTTTCAGTCTTCAAAATCATGCATACATCATCTAACTTCCTGCACCAACAACTACCTGAGAAAGAACCTGAGATAAAATTATATGTTGTTTTTATTCATCTAATTCATCTTTAACCTTCTGAGAATCAAATAATTTGGTACTTAAATCAGTAATTGTTGAAGAATTTGAAATTATAATTCTCAAATAAAAAAATTGGGAGTTTAATAGTTTTAAGTTTGCATAAAATAAAGCAAAAGCGTCAGGGTGAGGAACTGCATTGTATTTCAGGATGTAGGAAGCAACAAAATCATTCATTTGGGTTTGTTCCCATTGTGATTATTTATCTGCCCTACATTAATTTAAAGTAAATATGGAGGAGGGCAATTTTTTATTTTTACTTGATATTTGTTGGTTTCAAAACCAACCCCTTAAATTCAAGCTGGTGGAAACTCAGTGTACCGTGTTAGAAAAGCGAAACACCCCCCTGCTTGCCAACCAGCGCCGGGCCAGATGGGAGACCTGCTGTAATCCGTCACTCCTCCTCATTAAAAAGCAGTAATGAGGGACTGAACGCCGGGGCACTGCTGTCCCTTCAGCCCCGCGACAGCTGCCGCCATAGTCCTTCCCATCCAGGAGGAGATCAGTAAAATAAATAAATCCCCTACATTAATGACCGTCTAAGCTCGCCCCCAAAGACTCTGAGGATACACGACACGTAACTGACATCACCGCATGGAAATGAGACAGAAGAGAAGGGAGATGGACTTGAGTAAATGACCCAAGGAAAAGCAAGATGGTGTCATTCTTCAACCTGACAAAACCTGACTATGACATGGGTTCAGTGCTTGTGGGTCGTCTCTAATCACTTTTAGAATTGGAGGGAAATACATTTGATTCGACTAATCCCAGTCTGAGGCCGTGGTTTAAAACTGAGGGGAAAAAGTGGTCCACTCCATACACATCGACGGTCATGCTCTGGCCTCGACTACAGATCAATTGTCTTGGAGTCTTGTTCTGATTAACTGGAGCTTGTCTGTAGAAATGTGAGCGCTGATCTGTTATATTATGGTTTAAAAGAAAGATTAAAAGTGAAGCTCATAATGACCCGCTCTGCTGGCTTCACAAGCCCTTCACATGTGGTCATGAGATACTAAGTACTGCCATAATAACCACATAACTTATAAAGGCAGTTCAAATGTGATCCATCTGTTGGGAGGCTGGGCTCACCCTAAGAGCTGAGGTGTTTTCACACCAGTCTGGTACACTGTGATTGATTGAGGACAAAAGCTGTCATATTTGCTATATTTTGTGCTGGTATGGTTTGTTTTCACACTGCACTGTATCCAACAAACCAAACCCTTTGAAAAATCACTTGTGGTGGCTCTGCACCAAGAATCACTGAAGAAAACAACATAAAAACCTCTGAAGAAGACATGAAGGCAACTTCTTTCTTCACAAAATGTAAACAAAAATGAACTGGCGGTTGTAGAATTTATATTTTGCCCTTGGTTAAAGACCACGGCCCATTTCTCTTGCTAGCATTAGATTCTTGTTATTAGCGATCTCCAAGCAGACCAGAGTTTGCTTCAACTAAACACACTTAAGTTTTCAGACAAACCAGTTTGCTTTTTGGGACCACATCAGAGTTTGATTGCCGTTCACACCTCCCCAAATCATCAAGGCCTTCTATGCAAACAAACTACTAATATACCTCACTCTGTAAAAAAACATCTATTAGAAATCAAAAGTGTCAACAAAAGCGACTTATCAGTAGAGTAGTTTGTAGAGGACTCCTGCTTCCACTATCTAATAAAGAATTAGGAGGTCTATTCTATAAAAAGAAAACTAAACTACAGTAGAGTATGGGCTGAATTGGGGACTTCACATTCAGCTCCGCTTTGCTGGCAGTGGAGTAAAGGTTGCAGAGCGTCTGGAGCTCTTGATTAAACTGTGTGTGAGAATAGGATGTGCTGGACATGGGATAAATGAAAGGCGACTTCCCACTATGATGCCACCTTTGGCCTCGGTATGATTATGAGAGGATTTCCTTTTAATCTGGGTTCTCACTCAGCTTGTCAATCATCAAACTACAGCATGTGAAACTAGATGAGGAGGGTAGAAACCCACCAGTTGCGTTCTGAGAAGCGGCAAAGTTTAGTGAAAACATGTTGCTTTGACAACGATGTCGTCACTTTCACTTGCTCCGTTGCTTGGTGCAAGTTTTGCAAAACAGACCAACTGTCATGCCACAAACATTGCAGAACTAGATTGAGGAACCTTGAAACGTAAGAGTTGCAGATACACTGACACCTAAATAAATGCTTTGGGAAATAAAGTACAATAAGCTTTGATAAGAAGAGTAACGTTTTAAATTTATACTGCCGGCCTCTATTAGATTTAACTTTTCTTGGATATCTTTTGGTCATCTAGCTTAACCAACCCTTACTATCAAGATCTTTCTGAACTGCTATCTACTTAATCTTTTCTCACACGTACTGGGTTTTTTTTTCCAGTAGAAGGGCAAAAGTTAGCGAAAGTTTTCAGAGCCCAAGATTTTTTTCCCATGAAGATCATTTTATGATTGAAGATGAAATGCTTTTACAGACAGAAGAGAGGCAATTATTCAGGACTCTGAAGACACTTTTTTTCTCTCTCTAGTGTTTTCAGAGATGGGTTTCTGAGATTTAATATGACAACAAAGGGCAAACCAAGTTCATGGCCGTGAGAACCATCAGTTATTTTGCAGAGTCACTGATCCCACAGAATAAAAGTGATCTAAAGAGGAACTGCAACAAACATCATGAGTTTGAGCCATATGCTCAAGCTGACGTCAACACTCCAGTTTGAGGATCAGTAGGTTCACCACCATAATTACAAAGTGAATCTCTAAATAGCAGAACAAATTGTAGAGGATCCATCTGAAACATAGATGTGATAAGCATATCTCGGATGTAAAGTATGTGTAAAAAGTCAAGTAAATTGTCATTTATTAACTAAAAATGCTGAAATTACACATCATCTTCTTATTTCTTTTTGAGTTCCTGCCTAACAACAACTTTCTGTCAAATACTAGTTTTGTTTTACATATAATCCATATAACTGGACTACTAAACTCAAAGGAACACAATATTCGGTTGTAGCTGCCTTGAGTCATGTAGAGTTTTGTTCTTTTTTTTTATGTATGATGACATGTCTTGTTATAGGAGATAAAAATGAAGACTATTCAAAAAACGGTTTAGATCCTAAACATAAAGTCAAACAGATGTGTTAGCATCACAGTAAAAATTAATTAAAAAAATGTAAAAAAAACATTTTATTTTGGCATAACTTTGCCATCATCAAACTAATGCTTGTTGGATGACAAGATATTCACAGTCTTTGAAGTTCTGTAACTAAACAGTGGCTCTTGTTAGAAATTCAATTCGAAATTAAAAAAAATATATTTATATAATAATTTCCATGGGGAAATTAATTGTTGATGTAGCTCATAATTTTCCTCAGAGTTGTTGTAGGACGTGTGCAGGAAGGATCTTTTATAGAGGTCTGTACTACAACACCGTCTAAAGAAGCTTCTGATTGAAGCCAGTCAGCTGTTGCACAACAGTCTCAAGAGGAGAATGCTCAGAATAAATTATTTCATTTTACACTAAATAATTATTTGAATCTAATTTTGCAGTTTAGCAAAGCTGTAGGTTAGCCTTTGCATACTTACGCAGTTTGCGCTTTTAATGTTTCATTTTCATCTGACTGTCAGAAGAATTGATCACTCAAATAGTTACAGTCTTACTTGCTTATACTACTTACCACTCAAGCCTTTATTTCCTTTTGCTGAAATGCATAGAGCAATAGTCTGGTAGTATCATTGCATACATTGAGCAAATGGAGAATATTAATGAAAGTGAAGATTATGCAGGTAATGTATCTACAGGACTTTTACTTTATTTTAAGAAAGGCCCCTGTAAACAGATGCTGAGAGTTTCTTTGAGATGTTTGGTATTTATTGATCTTTCATTGCTTATTTTAAAAATAACCAGTGGGAGAAGAAGAGGCCGGGAAGGCCAGTTCAGATCACAGTGAAGATGTCAGAACCTGCAGAGCTTATGAGGCAACTGTCTGAAACAGTTACAAAGCTCAACATGTTCTGTAAGCAGGCCTGACTCTGCTCTATATGAACTGTCTGCCTAATGCCTTCACTCAGAGTATTTACTTTCTACCAGTTGAATGGGTTCCTGCAAGAGTGGCACAGCATACAAGCCAAGGGAGGCGCTTTTGAACTGAGCTATGGTCACATCTTAAACGGTGTTTGTTACTGCAATACCTGAATTGCCAAAGCAGAGCATCAACTGCCTTTTCATGTGGTCTATTACAGCCGTGGGTGTCACCGTTGAACTAATTTGGCAACATCCACAGAAAAGCCGTTAATGTTGCATATAATAATTAAGGTCTCACACGCGACATTCACTAAGTAAAGGGCGTAAAAAATGCTTGTTTTGAAATCAATGTGTTGCATATTTCAGCACATGTGCATAATTTTCATCAAGCAGCATTTTTCTATCTAATTCAAGCTCCCATTAAAAGTTATTCTATAATCCACCTCTTAAGTGAACCTCTAATGTGAGCCTCAGTCAGCGCTATTGTGTCCCTTCCTCTGTCCTCTGAAAATTGCTTTCATTCATAGACTAACAGTAATGGGCTACAATTTAGCTGTTAAAATGACTAATGATGTTTTGCACTTAAGTGTGGCTTCCACACCCTTGTATCTGCCATCTTAACAGGAAGTGCTCCATTAAAAACTGCGTTGTATTCCACCCTGTTAAAAGCCAGCTTCAGCTGTCATGTGAAAAATGACTGATTGCCAACCCCATCCTCCTCTCATGGTTTAGAATGTGTGAAAATGGACCAGCGCACGATTAGAGCCCAGGATTTTCCCACCATTGTCTGCACCGACTGACAGGAAAAACAGTCTCGGTACTCACTTTGCGGCAAACTTGACCATCTGCTTGCTGGCACGATCTCCCACTGCGACCAGCGCCTGCACGTTGAACTGCTGCTGACGCAGGACCAAGAAGCACTGCTTCCCTGCAAAAGCAAAGCAACAACAATAGGTGGTGCAGGCCAAACAGACTTATCACATTAAAAAAAAAGAAAGAAAGAAACTTAGTTGGAAGCAGGATTGGTTTTCTGAGTGAAATAAAAAGGAAGACTGGATCCTGCAGCTGCAGAGGGTCAAACATTTGCAAACAAAGCCTTGTGTTTGAACAGCACTTTGTGGAGAAAGTCTGATAGCTACCTTGAATTCAAACACACACCTTGGAAGAGTGTAAACAAACGAGCTCACAAAAACTCAGGTCTGCCATAGAAGGACCACCCAGATACTTTGATGTTTGCTGGTGAGAGAAAGAGGGGAGTGGTGGGGATAGCACCGATGCCAAAGTCCCACCAAAAGACAAACCTCATCCCACACCGAATCAGGATGTTGTTCTGCTCACACGGACATCCCACAGCGAGCACGGAGAATTAAAACATAAGTGGCTAGGAAGCGACTCTTGACCCTGGAAGTTATCTTGAAAGGAAATAGCCAAAAAATACAAACATAGGTTTGTTTACGGTGTCAGCAGGTTTGTTTGTGATGGCAGGTTTAGTCGAGCACAAGAACAGTGGGGTGTTTAATGCAGAGAAGAAACAAAGTCAAGCTTAGGCAGTTAATTGTATTCAAACTCAAAAGCTCCAAGGCTGTCAGCTGCTGGAACTGAGTTATCTGATCTTCCTGTTGGCAGTCTGAGAATGATATTAGAAAACACCCTCAGACTGTCAAACTGCTTGACAAGGAGAGGGTGGGAAAAGGGAAACATTGTAGGGAAATAATGGGACAGGTCCAACTCAACATAAATTCTGTTTGGTTTGAGATCTTAGAAGTTTTTGCTTGTTTTTAACAGTTTCTTTTAGAAAGTATTCATACCACTTCAATATTCACATATTCTAATATTAATCAATCAATAGTGAAGTTTAATAATGCATAATTTTCAAAAGTTAGGTGTGCTTCTGTATTAAGACTCTTCACTCTGACACCTGAAAATAAAATCAAGCACAATGAATTGCCTTCAGAAGTCACCTTATTAGTAAACAGTCCATCTTTCTGTAATGTAATCATCCTAAAATGGAAAGGGCAAGGCAAAGCTGAAAACCTGCTTGGCTGTTCACCTACACACGTTTAGGGAAGGAGAGCATTAATCAGAGAAGCAGCCAAAAGGTTCATGCCAACTCTATAGAGAAGCTACAGAGATGAGGTGGGAAAAAAAATAAAAAATCAGTCAACTATTGTTCTTGAACTGCACCTCAACTTGACTTTTATGGAAGAATGCCCCCACAAAAGTCATTGTTTAAGGAATGCAGGGTTTCTCCCGGTGAATGGCCTGCCATGTTTTATGCTGATTTTATATTATTATATAATTTTTTTTAGTATTATGTTTTAAGATACACGATGCATCAAACCGTATTAAATGCTTTGTCCACTTAGTCTGCCAGTGTCAATGGGCGTCGCTGAGAGAGATCTGAGAAACTTGTCCCATAAACGTCAGCAACCAAAACAGTTTCTGTGACTCTTATTAAAAACTCAATGAAAGAGCTACTCAAGCCCCATTAGCAGCATCTAATTAAATCTCCCGTTTGTTGTGCATCTCTCCATGCAGCGCAGCTGATTTAACTCATCATGGAGGTTTGGTCCAAGACTGTATGAAGCCTGGAGCAGAATATGAAGGTGATGTTTTCAGCATCTTCTGTGTTAGATTTAGTGAAATTAGGAGAGCAGGATTAGTTTAATTGGCCATCCTAAAAAGCAACAATTTACAATTGCAGTTTACTAATTTGTATTTGTGAACAAATAGAGCTCAAACTCGAAGATTAAACTCAGAGCATCAGATTGGTAACAAAACAATCTATGAATATTGTTCTTTGAACTTTTACAACGTAAACTTGCCATCTCCTTAACATCTTACATTTAAATGTTGAGCAATTTAAAATCTTTTAATTTATGTATGCTGAAACCATTAAAACTAATTTAGCAGCATTGATAATCTCAATAAACAAATGTTACATTTATGTATCCGTGGTCTGTGTTAAAATATCAGTATTTATGTGGCCCTTGAAGGCCTTATGGAGTCGCTGAGTTAATTTGGACTGAAAAGAGGCAAATAACTGATATTCATTTTAACTATATTTTCTTTATTAGATGTTTATAAGGCTAGTTGTGGGTTTAAATAGCATTTCAATGGCGATATTTTTCCATAACACATAATTACCCAGTAATATTTTTACATTTCCTAACATCTTTTAATACCAACCGGGCTCCGCAAGTTTTCTGGAGGAAACCCTAGGAATGCAGTAAGTAGTAACATTTTTATGTTGCCACCATGTGGGAGCTGTTTGGGTCAAATGAGACCAAAATGTAACTTTTTTGGTGTTGAAAGAACAATCAGTAGAGACAAAAAAGCTCTGTTAGAGGAAACATGTAAGAAAATTTATTGTAGGCTGCAGAAGAGGTAAAAATACAGCCAGAGCTTCAGTGGAATGATTTAGATCAAACTATATTTGTATGCTGAAATTGCTCCAGACTTGGGAACTGATGTTCATAGACACATTCCATCCAGTCTGACAAGTATTGAGGTAATTTGCCCAGAATTAGCAGACATTTCCATTTCTAGACGAGCAAAGCTGTCAAGAGACATATCCCAAAAGACTTGCAGATGTAATTGCAGCACAAACTGGTTCTACAAAATATTGAGTCCAGAGAAAAACACACTTTAGATTTTTATTTGCTAAACACTTATTTTTCCTGCATTTCACAACCTTGCATTACTTTCTCTTCATTTAAGCATCAATTGAAAGTTCAAACGGTTTTAATACTTTTTGCATTACGTAGATAACAGTGGGTGGTAAAAGTAAGTATTAAAACTAAGGGGAGTGATGTCAGTAGTTGAGGTCATAAGAAATCCAAGAAGTCCACATCACTATCAGCTGCCTCTGCTGTTTGATCTTGAACTAAAAGGAGAGCTGTGGAGGAAAGTGGCTCAGGGGCAAATGATTTAGTCTGCAGAGTATAGGACACCAAGGATAAGCATGGGGGGGCATCTGAGCCGGGCTCTTTGAATGCTCTGATATAAAAGGTGAACAAAGCGCCCAGAGGCAAAGGAGTGATCTCACCTTTGGCTCGGCTGGTGTGGACCCGGGCACGCAACCAGATCAGCTGGTCAACTTTCTGCGGAGTAAGGTCTTGGACTCGGACCAATGTCCTGTCTGTGTAGACATACACATTTTTCATTAGTTCAAAGAACTCCCCAACGTCTGAGCAAAAAAAAAAAAAAAAAATAAATAAAAAAACCTTCCTTAACTATCCTTTATACTCCCAAAGGTAGAACAAAATGTGAAGAAGCAAGCGTGTGCTTGTGGTGAAACAGGCAGTAAAAGTGCTCAAATTACAGGCATGCCTAATAAATAAGACACAGTAGAAGAGCTGCTGAAAGCCGTCTAAAATTTGGCTATTCTCCCTGGGCTTTATGACAAATTGAGTCTAGTTTCACTTGTATCACTCTGAGGCATGTTTACTGCTGATAATCATGCAGACACTAAAGAAAGAGCTGCCCCTTTGGCTGAGAACTCTTCGTCAACTCTCCTGCTCCCAGACCCCTCCTGCTTCGTCCCTGTGGCTGAACGTAGCATGCAGGTGAGGGAGGGAGGCCCCACTTTGTCTGTTTCCACTGATGCTGAAAGAATATGCAGACAGATGGACGTCAGCAACAGGTCTGTCTGGTGCTTTCCCCATCCAGGCAGTTCTCAAACACAGGCAGTCTGATGAATTATCTCTGGTATCGATGAATTTTCCACTGAAGGTGACTCCAAAGAGGTTTTTCGTGATGCATATCATAAGCCTGTTTAATCAGTTTGCTTGACTGAAGTACTTCTAGCTCTACTGCCATGCTGTAAGAGTTCATGAAGAAAAACAGGTTGAAACTCTCTTACTGCATGTACAAACAGCTGCACAACCTGTATTTCTCAACAAGGATAGATGAAATGTGTGGAACAATGACTGGCAATTTCCTCGTGACTTTGTAATGACAAGACAACAGTGTGTAAACTTTGTAATGTCACCTTGGTAACAAACAGCAGTGGAAATGAGCACTTAGAGCTTTAAACTGGTACAGTGCATCTCTCCTCTTGTGGTTAGTGCATCTTTTACATTGTCCCTCTTTTAAATAAATAAATCATACAATCTTTAAATGCAAATACAGCCATACCCTTAAATATTTTAACATTTTGTTGAATGTATTTTATCCAGAATTTGTGATAAACCATAAAAAAAGGAGTTTATTGTAAAGTAAAAACAAAAACTATATAATTTTCAACTTTATTTGTTCTTTTGTTGGACCAGAGACGGTTCTGGACTAAGTTTCGGAAGGGCAGAGGTAGAGTCAGTGAACCTTGATCCAGAACCGCACAGCAGGGGTCCGCAAGGTCGGTCCTGGAGGGCCGGCATCCTGCATGTTTTAGTTCTCACCTTGGTGGTAGTGACAACCTTTTCAGCATGTCAGTGTTCTTCTTAGGCCTCTAATGAGCCATCATTGAATCCTGGTGTGTTAAATCAGGGAGAGAACTAAAACATGCAGGACGCCGGCCCTCGAGGAGCCACTTTGGGGACCCCTGCCGCACAGCAATCTGGGGGATCTAGGCAGAGGAGAAAGGCTTTAGCCTCTCAACCTCTCATGTCGAGCTAAGAAAGGTTTGTTTCTTTGGTTACCTAGAAACAACCTGCTTGTTAACGTGTAGTTTCAAACTGCCCCAAACTTTGGCTCAACCTGTTGAGCAGTAGCAGTTTCAGGTTCTGTCACTTTTCCTCATAACATCTTGGGGTGAAAACAAAGGATAAATCAGAAAAGATTATGCTGCCAGTTTGGCAGTATTTCAAATATATAAACAAAAAAACTAATAAATAATTATCAAAATTGAGAATTATTATGAAATGTCTGTATCATGATGGGTTTTCCAGCCAATACTGTATCATCGGGTAATCGCATTGGGATCTGATGAACTGTTCTCCGACAAAAGAATCGTCTCAACTGTCTTTGTTAAAACGTATTTCCATTTCAGCTTGACAAACTGTTCATATTTGTATTTGCAATAAAACGTTAAAAACATTGTATATTTCTCTTCCATTGCACAAACATGCACTTTGCGTAGCTCCGGTACCAACCAAGTTTTTGCTGCGATTGCACCATAGCTGACACCCCATATCGGTCCTTGGCAAAGTCCTTTAAAAAGAAGACAACAAAACACATTTTAGTACACAACGCTATCACAGTTGAGACAGTCTTTCCACTTCGTTGTAATGACGTCTGTCTGTCTACTACATCTGCGATAAGAGACACAGAAGAGATACGAGAGCTTATCATGATCCCAAGGAGAAGTTGTGCAGCAAAAAAACAGAATCTAAGAGTCATGCGTGCAGGTATTTGCATACTAGTTGTTGCAACAGAATACCAAAAGAAGACAGAAAAGCAAAAAAACTGCCTAAAAAAAGCCAGTCATTTGAGAATACTTACATCTTCATCTGCACTTTGCTGTTCAGCTGCCTGGAAGAAAAAGGAAAGCAACAGGAAATGTTAGGAGACATTGCTAGTAGATGGTCATCTTGTTATTTCCTAGCTGTTAAATTAAAAAAACAAAATCCACCAAAACATTTGCCTTCAAATGGAGAAACGTTTTGCTACAACAGTCATGGAAGTTGCGTTCCCATCTTTTGCTGTTGAGGATTTGAATAAAATTATTAACTCATCGTTCAACCCCAGAGCCGAGCGTCAGATCCCTAGAATTCACAGCTCTTCCACACATTGCTTCGAAACATCACGGGCAATGAGTAATGGCAGCACGAGATATTGCTATGTAATAGAAACAGTGTAAGTGGACGGATATTCTTTATCTCTGCATGGACTTCCAGGCAAATGACTCCCAGAGTGCAATGAGATCCAGCCTTGGCAATGCTGTGGCTCCATTTCCTATGCAAATTGATATTGGGGGCACGGAAATGGCTGCTGGCAGTGGAGTGAATTGGAATCACCCATCCTTGATATAATAATTCAGTCACATGATGGATGATATTGCAGCTTATCATCAACTGAATATAGACCCGCTTTAGCCGTAAAGCGGCCGAGCCCCACAAAAGTGACAAGTGTTTGCAGAATGAGCATAGAGCTTGCAGAGGCGAAGAAAAAAAAAAAACATACCGATGTTCACTCAATAAACATTCAACTCAGCTTTCAGGTCTTCCCCGAGGCGATGCCTACTGCGCTTCAGTGATGTGAGCAGCAGCTGGCGGATTTAACAGTGACAGCAGCCTCTCCCTCCATGAGATGACGCTGACTGGTTTAATTCAACTGGAAGACGACACTTCACTGCTTTCACCTTTCAAAGGCACCTCAGCTGTGACAACGCTGCACTGTATCAAAGCTACATCTTTAATTTAGATACAATTTAATATACTTTGGTCAAACTGTAAGATCACAGTAATAAGGTTCTATTTCAATGCCTGCCTTTCGGGCTGATTTTTAGGATAATAACTGGATACTTTAATGCATTTTTTTCTTCTGCTATGCAAATAATTGACAGACTGAAAATTAAGCTAAATAACCATGAAGGAATGATGAAATAATCCACCAGGCATTTCACAGCAGCACATAGCAAATAAAGCAATCAAGGAACAGGTTGTAGGACCTTGAGTGTTCTCAAATATTTACATTTTTCCTGTTTGCCCACAGGTAATTGGTAATGATTCATTTTTCTGGTGTTATCTCATTGTTAGGTGTACGTTAAAATAAAACAGGTTACTAAGACAACCCTCATCAAATACAAACACTGGAGTAAGATAGCAGCCAGCCCGGCGGGTCATAAACCGTTGGGACCAAAATGTTGTAACTTCTCTAAGACTTATCTGATGAATTAATTTTACAAGGCTCTTGAACAGTTTGCAGTCCCAGAGTTTTTGAAACACAAACCTGTTCTCAGTCTACTTTTGTATTTATTTAAAATTATGTCCAGTTAATACTAAGTGTACAGCATCTATTTGTAACTTCAAGTGTACAGAAAAACAACCAGGAAAATAAAATAAAAAAATCTAAATTCAACTTCCATGAAAGAGCTAGAGTTTTTAGGAAAATATTGGGTGAATTTAAAGAAGATGAAGTTGTATTGAAGTACTTTTCTTCAGCTCATGTAAACTCCTCACTGAATGAGTTATTTTCAAACCCATAGAGATCCAAAAGAAAGAAACATGTCTGCGTTTTTGAGGCAATCAAAGAGAAAGTGACATTTTTCAGCATATTCCTCTTTTCATGTTCGTTTCCCTATATCTTTTAATATATGACACTAATTCAAAGCAACCCACATGCAATTCTGAAACATTTGGAAGAAGGGAGTCAAAAGAAAAAAAGATGAGGAATAATCATATGGAAAACTGAATGAGTTTTCTTAAAAATGCTGATTAACTAAATTGCACAGGATTTCCTTTTAACTTAATCAAGCAGTCAACCTTTAAAAATAAATCTGTAGTCAAGAAAACCAAATTTGATGTGAAAAAAACGGCAGAACTTCTGAGAAAACTAATGAAAAAGGACTTAAAGGGATGCTTTGATCAGTGAATGTAGCAGTGTGTAGCTGCAGAAAGTGTGTATATAAAAAAGTGAAGTTTATGGTCTCTTTGTTGAAACTTCAATAGCAGCAAAAATCCCATCTCCTGTTTGGCAAAAGGTGGACAGGATAAATCTTACAAATCCTCCATCTCGATGCTTGTAAAAGAGAAAAGCCAAGAAATCTTTGCTACATTGCGCAGTTTATTTTTGACTGAAAAATCCTTTGTTTTTCCAAAACAACTCCAACATAACCCATTGCACAGTAACTTTTGTATCTAATTCTGTTTTGGAGTGACCAGAGAGGACAGATAAGTGTGAAATTAATTTCATACAATCTAAACCTTAAGTTTGATAAATATTTAGTTAATCTTTGCTTTTTAAGTTGGCAAAGAAATTGTTCCTCAGCATGTTAAAGAAATGTGTAAAAAAAAAATCTATGTACTTTGCAGAAACTGTTCTTATTGTTAGTTATCTGATAAAAATATCTCCATAATCCATCTGTCATAAATGTAAAAGTGCCTTAGTAAATATGAGCATTACTGTGTAGGATGTGAGGATGATTCAATTAGAAAACAACACTACGCATGGACATAAACATGACCGAAATGACAGGAATACTTGAACAATAGAGTTCAACCCCCTGTTGGCTCACCAACCCTGCTGGGCCAACAATGCCCACCAGAACAGCACGTCACATCGTCAACAGCTGTAAGATTTTTGGCGGATGTGAAGCATCAAAATAGAAAAAAATGCAGTGGCAACACTGACCAGTTTGGCCTGTTTCTCAGCCTTCTTAGCAGCTTTCTCTGCTTCTTTCTGCTGTTTCTTTAGGGCTTTCTTTGACTGAGCCTGCTGCTCCTCCTCCATTGCACTGAAACAGGAAGAAAGACACAACATAAACATGAAAGTCAACTTCCACCTCTTATTTCTCCTGCATCCCAGGAGGAAGTAGTTGAGCGCCTGGGAAAATTAATTCTGAGCCATCACCACCTCCAGCTTTAAAGTCTGAACTCCCTTTAATCCTATTGTTCTTCCAAACAAAACAGCTGGAGTTGAGATGAATGGGTCGGAGAGAGCTTGGAGAGCAGTTAAGATTGAGATGTCAGAAAGTAAGATTAGGTAGATAAACATTGCAGCTCTGAGATAGACTTACAATCTCTAATTTTATAACTGTTTGTAGAGAACACAGATTATCCCATTATGATAACATGAAGGTGTCTTTATTTACCAGATTAAAAACTCTTTACATGAGCTCTTAGGAATATGAAATTTACCTACAATTAAAAGCATAAAGAGGATAACAAACTGTGACATGATAAAACCAAGAGTAGCCAAAATTACCACAAATGTACACAAATGCAGAACATCTGTCTTTTGACACATAGAAATGTTTTTGTTCAGGTGCTTTGAAGAGTTTGAAGGTGCATTTCAAGGGCAGGAAACTTTTCCAGAGACTACTGTAGAAATAATTTAGAATATTGCAGTGTTTAGGTTCTGACATATCAATTAAAGCTATCACAAAGCTATCAAACATGCTGTAGCTGATGTTTCAGCGGTCATCTCGAAGACTTTATTTATTAAAGTTTTCTTCAAAGATAAAACTTATTTTGATCAATTTTCAGAGCCCAATGGCCATGAAAGCATCACAAATTATTATGAAGCGATGGGGCCAAAACAGTTTGGTGAGAATGTATTCTTATATGTTTGCACACAGTTTGGACTGGGAGTAAGTGACTTTTAAACTGTAAAAACTATGACACAATCAGACAATAATTGATTTTTGGTCCTATCTCACTGAATCCATTGAATTAAACTATGGATTCTGTTGATGCAGTGGGTGGAGATCCATTTCACCAGATTCCAGCAGCATTTCTACAAGAGGAGAATCAACTCAAAGCTCACAAAAATAAAAATGAAAATAAAAGTTTCATTATTTTTCTATTTAGTTTTTGAAAGTGTGTAAATGATTTTTTCTGAGTAATAGCCTAATGATATTTCTAGTTTGTATTTTAGATTTAAGAACAAAATTTAGTAAAAAATTTACCCACTATAAAGCAGCAGATCACAAACAGTTTGATCTTTGGACTCGTCTATTAACTCATAATTATTTTCTAAATCTGCAGGTGCATCAATAGCAGCTGCTTGGTTTCCCAAAACACCAGGAGTCTCGACCTGAAGGAAGCCTGGGAGATCAGGAAATAACAGGGAGCAGAGGACAGCTATGAATAGCAATAAAGCCCAAACAAAAGTCAAAAACAGCAACATATTATGACTTCCAAGGGAGGAATCAGATCCCGGTTCAATTTCCTCTATTGTCTAACGTGTCATTGATACATCTGCTTTAACAGCAAAGCCAATAGCCTAAGTTCTCCCTCTATAAAACCTCAAACTAATCTTCAGCATATGGATATCTGTGATACGTAATGGCTCTGATACAGCAGTAGTAGTATGCAACCATCTAAAATGTTGTTTTATTGGTTTTTTGATTCTGAAGAAATTATCTGATGTTGAAGATACATATTGTGCTTACAGAAAGACTCAACTATTAAACAAATGACAGCTCAACAAAATCAAAAATAACAATGTAAACATATCCAGGATCCAACAGCTTCAGTTCCCGGACAAAATACCTGTTCTGCTGTAAAATGATAAACATTTCTGACATAACCACATAAACCAACAATAAAAGGTGGGGAACAGTTAAATATAAAACGAAATGGCATCAATTTTTGAGCAAAGTTCACAGCTAAAGTCAAACAGAATGAGAGCCATTTCCTATAAAATGAAGTTAAATTTAAAAGTTTACTTTCGAGTAAAAACAAATTAAAGTCTTCATCTGCGTGATTGCTGTTAAGCTAGCAAGTATCTCTTTTGATTTTTACATGTTTGGGTGACCACAAAAGCAGCTGCTCAATGGAAGTTCATTGTTTTGTGCTTTTATCATCTAATGCAACAAAATTAAATTATATTTCAGATTGAACCATTTCAATAACTCATCAAAAATACTTAAGTACTTTCTAAAATATGTAAGTACTTTAATATAGAAACAAGAAAAAATGTCTCCTATTCATTACTGAAGCTGAGGATGTAGCACTGTGCTGTATGTTTATATCTTAAAGAGGAAAATAAAATGTGTAAAGAATTTTAATGAGGCCTGTTATCAGACATGCACCACAGATTCAGCAAAGATCACATTTTAAAGATTTGCTTTTCCCAAATCTGTAAGGTCAAGTTTTTTTAAATACCACTAATGTAATATATGCTTTTAAAATTCCTGATAAATAAATAGCAATTAAATCATATCAAAATTAAGATGGATTTGGGATTTTTAACCTAGACACAATAACTTGAATTCAATTGCGTTTTTAAGCTTTTTCACAGAGCTCCAAAGTCTTGAATCTCAAATCACCAGAAATGCAATTGAAAAAAAAACTGCTTAGATGAAATATCTATCGAATGTCTGGTGACAAGCCATAAAAAGTTAATTACCAGTAATGCATCCTTCATGTCAACCTAAACGCCCAATTATAAACCACAAGCAAGGTGGCGGAAATGTACAGAAATTAAATAAAAATAACAGTACATAGTGAGAAAATTGGGAGCAACTATGATCACTATAATTAGATGCCAGTGGTACAATTAAAAAGCACGTGATAAACACATTTTACGAGATTTCTTTCTGAATGTTTAAAACTAAGAAACGTTTTATTGGAAAAGGGAGTAAATAGAATCAACAGTCGTTTATTGTAATACAAATGTAAATTTTGCTGTTTAATGACCAAAAATTGTCACACATTGAAAATACTTTATACTGTTTTTATTTTTTTAAATCATCAGGTTTTAGCACAATTATGAACTTTGTGTTGAAAACAGCCAGTTAAATCTTATCAACTGTTGGTTTCCATAGTTTCTGGCATGAAAATATCCAGAGTCTGAACCGTGTTGTTATCTTGTTGCTTTCCGTGCTTTGTTGCTGTTTGTGGTCTTCCGTTAATTTCACTAAGTTGCTGATTAAACTCGATCAAACTGAAATGAAACTAATTGCTGATGCAATTTGTTGCCAGTCAGCTGCTAGCCGTGTTAGCACCTTGGTGAAAACAAAATGCCGCTCTGAGAGCTGTGCTTCAGCAAACGCCACATTCACAGCGCTCTTACCCGTTTGCTTCTTCTTTCGTCATCTCCAATTTTATTCTTGGAAAGTTGGGATAATATATTTATATTTTTTACAACTGCTTGTGAGGGAAAGAAACTCCGCATCAGCTGTTCACAGCATGGACGGGAGCAGGAAGGAAGGAGCTGTTTTGACCGAGCACAGTTCCGAGTGGAAACGAGTCACAGACTGTAGTTCCGCCTTGTTTGTGTTTGTCCGGAGCAGACAAAATATATCAAACATCTGTAGGGAAATGCGTCTGGAGTAATTTCCTCAGGCTGTGCAGAACTTCAAAGTAACAAATAATTTTATTTAATAAAATGCCCAGATTTGCGGAACCTTTTTTGGTTTATATTCAGTTCATATCAGTCCAGTTCATTCCAAAGCACTCTAATAAACTGTCAGAATCAGGTCCAATTCAGCTCCGAATACAACACAATTTAATTAAGTTGAGTTTAATATAAAGTAGTAATAGGCCAAAAAGTAAAAAGGTATTTGTCTAAGAAACTGTAGCTGAATGCATGAAGCCATCCACCTGATAAGAAGTGGGAGCAATATTACAGCAAACCTATTTATATTAAGGAACAACACAATTAGTGAATATTGTTGCTCTAAAAAGAAAATGAAGCATTTTGTTTATATTCATGATGAGGCAAAGAACTCCCTTGGCAGGTATATGTGCTACTTTGTCTCAATCTATCCATTAAAATCCAGATAAACTACAATATGAAAATGTAAAGTTCAATGGCCTAGTGCAACTCAGCTCGCTTCAAATCATCTTAATATATTCCAATCCAAAAACTCATGAATGACTTTTTTGAACATAAACAACCATGAAAAGTGGCTCCTTTTCTTTTTAGTATTTTTATGAAAAATCAATCTGAAACATGGTATGTCTGAAGAAAAGACATCTGCTGTCATCTGAACCGTGGTGACCAATCTTTGCCCAATCTATATGAGGCATGAGGAACTGCAGCATTGCATTTGTGGTTGGCTGGTGGTCTTAATCATGGGGTTCGTCTTCTGTTTTCTGGGCTGGGGGTTAGACTTTGTAGATTGTTTTTGACCTTTTACACTGATGCCACAGTTAATTATTGACTTCAGAGACTTCAGAAAACATACTTATGTCACATGCAGCTGTGATAATTTTGAAAGACTTTAATCGTTTTAACTACACTTAATTATATGGCCTGGATAAATCAGTCCATATGAAATACAGGTCATATAAACAACTGACAGCAGGTCTTTAGCAGGTGGAGACTGCTTTACTCGCACAGCAAGTGTAAAATTCACACCTTTGCTTGTGTGCTCTAAGTGCACACAGGTATCCAGTAACCTTTGCAGGAGCGGACTGGCACAGCGAGTGACGGTGGTTTGAATTCAGTGGGGGTGTCTTCAAAGCTTTTCTCAGGCTGCTGGCCACAGGAGCTCCTGATGCAGGAAACAGGCTTCCTGTCACTCACTTTCCTCCCTAATACTGTGTAACCTTTGCGAAGCGTGTCACTGCACAAAAGGAGCTCAGGATATTAATTCTTCTTTTAAGCTGGTGTCTGCTAAACTATACCTTTTCTGTTTTGTTTTTACAGTGCCCAACATTAACAGTTAAGTAAGGCTGAATAATTTTACGGAATCCAGTTTAAAGCTTCAGAGTGGAGGTGTAGAGATAATGAATCACTAGTGGGAGCAATTTCCTGCTCTCTCCAACAACTTTAGCCTTTAACCCAGGATACTGACCTTCCAGCAAGGAAACATTTGAATGAGTGTGTTTTAACTCATCAAACGTAAGTTTAAAACATTCCAATTGAACTCCAGTTTTGTTCATTTAGTCTTGAAACTTTTAGATTATAGCAGGTAGAAATGTCCTAAATTGCTCATTTGAAGGCGGCGCTAGAGGTGTGTGATGTTAAATATTGTAGTTTTCCTTTGCACAGAGAGAATGAAAGCTTTAATAATGAATGGAAGGGAACATTCTTGTACCCAAGATGTGAATTCCTAACAGGACTGCCTATCAAAATTTAAGCTTTGGGAACCAAAGTCAGTTTGCAGAGAAGCAGAACCCATACATCTCTTTACTTTTATCATTGTAGTTGATGACAATTTGAAAGACAAACTTTAGTGTGTTTTATTTTTATTTTATGTGACTGACCAACACCAGGTTGTTGGACATATTTGCAAAGCAAAAGGAAGTAGATGATGCTTTTATTGACCAAACTTTTAAAAGCACGGAGTCCATGTCTTTTATATTCTGATGTCCCTAAATTGAATACAGTGCAAAATGTGCCAGAAAGACTGCAATAAAAGTCAAAAATGTGTTGTGTGCATTTTTATTCAGCTCTCCTGAGTTAATCATTCACTTCTGTTCACTCTTCTTTGGAAAAGCTAAAGCTCAGCCAGATTGGATGGAAGAGAATCCATGAATATCAGTATCAAAGTCTTGTACATTCTCTCAATTGAACCTTAGGGTTCATGCTTTGACTGGGCCATTCTAAGACATGAGCATTCTTTCATCTATACCATTTCATAATAAACATGGATGTATATTGTGGGGTTGTTTTGCTGTTAGAAAGTGAACCTCTGACTCAGTTTAAAGTGTATTGATCAGATCAATCCTTCAGGATTGATCTGTTGCTCCTTCCGTCTTCTTATGAACCCCTTGCAACTTCTCTCCATGCTGAGGACAAACACCCAGCATGAAGCTGCCATGAGGTTCTACTTTGGTCTCATGTGAAAAGAGAACCTTCTTTTGTATTCTTTTTAGGTCCACTATATGGATTGTCTCAAGCTGAGAACAGAACTTTTATCCCTTTTTTCATGTCACTATTATAAACCCAGTATGTTACCACCACCACCACCACCACCACTGTGTTTTATGGTCTGCAATGCTTTGAATGTGGCCAAGAAAGTTCAACTTAGGACTCATGCTGAGGACACACTACAAAACTTACAGAGGTACTTAAAGCAGAAGGTGGTCGACTAAGATGAGATGCATAAAACTACATGCCAAACTTTTGAGATTTTTAATTGTAGACACACTAAAGTTTGTCGTAACTGAACAAAAGTATTAAATAATTTAAAGGACATGAATACTTTTTTGAGATTTATTCCCCCCACAGCAGTTGCTGTATTAATTTAAACTGAAAAAGATGTGCTTTTTTTCCCAGGCTGGGAGTTAAATTTTCTCTCATCTATAAAGCATAAATGCAAGTGAAGAGATCTCCCTGCACAGGATGAGGTCTTATGCTAAATGAGGCTCATTTGGATACCTTCCCAACTTTAAAAAGCTCCTCTTGTTTTAAACTGGTTCACTGCACCAAAACAGGCATTAACACTTTGACTTAATGGAAGCACTTCACATTTTATTCCTCTCCACGTAAAGATATGGAAATGTATCTCCATGGGAGTTTAGAGTGAATGCCATGGCTGTGGTATTGTACAAAGGGCATTTGATGGCTTCATTCTCCTTGACATCAATTGTTGTCCGCTTCCTTTGGTCTCCCTACTTGAACATCAGTCTTTGTCACCAGTTCAGTGCTGATTACATTTATAACATCTATCTTGGTTAAAAGAGATTAATGTGCATAAATGTCCTAAAACAAGCCACTTTAAGGTCAAACGTTGCCATTTTCTTGTTGCAGCAAATTTATGCAAATGATACATCACAAAAGCCCTCATGAGAGACAATGCCTGTCTATTTGCATCGACTGAATGCATTTATTTCAGTTTTTGTGATCCATTTAATGGTTAAGCTGACCTGATGACCCTTTCATTGAGTTGAATTGGAATATTGCTTGTTTACAAGCCAAACATAAAGAAGGCAGTATATCTTGCAAACTGGAAAAGAAAGAAAATAAGTCAGAAGGAAACCTTAACATGCTAATTGCTTTGTTTAGGAGCCATATGGATGCTAATTCCAAGAGATTTATTTTGCTTTTGTGTCACTGTCTGGTTAAGATGTAAAATGCACAGATGTTCCTGCAATTACAGGGTCTGTCTGTGCAGTCCTTCTGCATTTCAGGCCAGTTCAGGTGGTGACATTTGTTAGGAGACTTTCTACCCCCCACACCACTACTCATCCACTAACTCCCCAAAGGGGAGGGTTGTTAAAACCCCCTCATCACACAACAGTCATGGAAAGTACAAGTCACTTTTATTTTTACAGTAAAAAAAAAAACAAGTACAAAACAACTTTCTTAAATCAAGCATAAGCCCAGTGTAAACGACAGCAATAAATTATAGCTTTCACTTATTCACACGACTTAAGTGCGACACGCACACACACAAGAAATGCTACAAACAGAACTATGTACAAGGAAACAGAACAATCTGCAAGTTTTGCAAAAGCAGCTTCCAGTGGAGGAAAACAATAAGATCCATAGTGGAGCATCACAGTCTGTGAGGACAATACAGATAACGGATCTTGAATGGGAAAGAAGTACTGACCAGGAAATGATGTTACTTCAGAAGATGAACAATTGGGAAACAAATGTAACAAAACACAAACAACTGCAGTTTTCAACTCAAACAAACAACCAAGTATAAAAAAAAATGTATTTTTTTTCTTAACATATGTACAAATTGTAGTAAGTTCTTTAAAATAAAGCTTTTTTATTTGTAGTCTCTCTGAGAGCATAAAGTCAAGAACTCCCAACAATAACTGCCGGTTAACTCGATAAAACGCTGGAAGACTCTGACTCTGTGGACACAGAAGAAATCTGCCCACGCTTTTTGGTCATGAGAGTCACTTTCTGGCTTGATTTGCTGCTATTTGTGAGCGTGCTCCTGGCGGTTTTGTTGAACTTCACCCCAAGGAAGGCATAGAGGATGGGGTTAAGGCAGCAGTGGAAGTAGGCCAATGCTTCGGTGATGGAGATCCACGTCTCCACCGCCTGCTGCAGCTCACAAGAAGAGCGCACAACGTCCAGCATTATGAGTGTGTCCAAAAAGATGCCGGCACAGTAGGGCAGCCAGCATCCGAAGAAGCAAATGATGAGGATCACTGTGGTCTTCAGCGCTTTCTTCTTCAGCACCTGGCCCTTGGCGCCTTGGGAGAGCTTGGAGATAATGATGCAGTAGCAGACGAGGATGACCAGTCCGGGCAGGACGAAGCCCACCAGGATGTGCTGGAAGCGAAAAACCACAGTCCAAACCAGACTG